CTATGTAATCAGCTCTACAAATGCATGTGGAAAATCAGACATAAATAGAGGTGAGCCTAGGCGGTAGTTCAGACAATAAATAATCTTATAAAAATATTTTGTAATTCATCTACTTTGCTTAAAAAAATCATGTTAATTATCTTTATGTCTATCGTATGTGCATACTGACTGATGAGTAATGTAAGTTGATGTTAAAAGACTGGACTACACTGACTTCTAGTTTAGAAATAGGGAGTGAAGTGGTTGGTGGAGCACGTTGACCGCTTTACTTATTTGGGAAGTACCTTCAGCCAACGCCAACGGGTTGATCTCTGACGAAATCTCCGCACGGATACAGAGGGCTAGTTTCGCATATGCCAGTTCACGCCGTCTCTGGCGTAGACGTGATATCTGACTGGCTGTCGACCAAAGGGCGGGTGTACTGTTCAGCAGTCCGCTCCGTCCTCCTTTATGGCTATGAGACCTGGCCATTGAAAGTAGAGGACATAAAAAGGCTAGCTGTCTCTGATCATAGGTGCATGAGTTCTATCTGTCGTGTGAAATGGTAAAATAAGATGAGCAATATTGAGTTTAGGCGTTGAGTGCAAGGTAAGGAGGGAAAATCAATCGACAAGGCTGTGAAGTTACACCGATTGAGATGGTTAGGATATGTGTTACATATGCCTAGTCATCGCCTTAATAGACGAACAATGTTAGCTGACATATGTATACACTTGGTGGATGGTGGCTAGCAGTGGAATCCAGGATGCGCATTTCGTCCTAATTGGGACTCTTCAGCTGGATGTACCTGCATTTCTCAGTGAGTGATGATGTTCCCACCGGGGCTCGAACCCAGTACCCATAGTTTCAAACGCCAAAGCGTTATCCACTCGACCACTTGGGCCACGAGAGCCACCTCTTGTGCAACGGGTCACATTAATTATTGAATTGAATTTTTGATTTTCCCGTCGATTGATTGGACCGAAGTGCTCGGTCTCAGGTTGACATGTCGGCCCCCTGTGCAGATGCTCCGACGATGTCTGGAGATTTGATTTGTATACAATTGGTGGATGGTGCGCATCCTGGATTCCACTGCTAGCCACCATACACCAATTGTATACAAATCAAATCTCCAGACATCGTCGAAGCATCTGCACAGGGAGCCGACATGTCAACCTGAGACCAAGCACTTCGGTCCAATCAATCGACGGGAAAATCAAAAATTCAATTCGATAGTTAGCTGACATAGTTGTTTACGCCAACCACGTAGGAAGGTGTAGATTTCCTGACTGGTTGGGGTCCTCTGGACAGTAAAAACCAATGAAGGATGGATACCATTGGCGATATGGCTCAAAATCGTTCTCAATGGCTGGCTGGCGCAGATGCATCCACTCCCTGTGACTTATGATTTCCAATGAAACTGTATCGTTATTCGTTATTAATATTCCTTTGTCTCACACCTCTGTTTACTATCTCTAATATGCATTTCTTCTACTTTCTTCTGTTGCTTTGTGTGCAACATGGAGGGAGTGTGGCGACTTGGACTGCTGCAGATCGTTGCATAGTTCTATGTCGAAAACAGACAGACAGACTGACTGATGAGTAATTTTTAGATCTGCTTAATGCCTTTGGCTATCAAGTTGTGTTAAAAGACAGCGTGTCCTCACATTGAACAAAATAACTGTATTTTTTGCCTTATGAATAAATGGGTATATTTCGTAAAAGCTGACGTAAACAGAGTTCAAGTTCACCTTGTTTATTTGTATTTTTTTTCAATCTCAGTATTTAGCCAAAACAAAAAACAAACAAATAAACAGACACCGTGACTAATATACATTTTAGAGATTAAATACAGAAGAAAAGCGAGACAGACAGAAATTCGTCAAAGATATTCTGTTATAAAACTTTATTCCTTCACAACAATGTCATTCAACACGTCATTGCACATTCGTTGAACTTTTTGCGTCGGTGGCGTAGTGGTTAGGACTCTCGCTGACCTGATGTCTATGGTCGGCCTGCAAAATATGGGCTACCGATATCCATATACTGAAAATTCCATACTTGTACCGAAAATTCGGTGTGGAATCAAGCTGTAATCAAAAATAAAATAAATAAATAAAATAAATAAATAAATAAATTCTGATAGAAAGGTTTCATTATTTTGGTGAATGAATTATCATAAAGGCAAGAGATAGTCTGAAGTTTAGAGAATATTATTATGATTATTATTATTACTTATGGTCACGCAGCACAAACAGACACTTCAATAAGAGTCATGCATTAAGTATGATTAAGCTGTTTTAAAGAATTTCGCCTACTTCTTCTTCATACAACTGAAATTTTGACAGTCCATAAGGGAAATGCATGAATTTTGTGTTTAGACACTTTTTATCCTGCCTAAATTATTATTTTTTTTTAATAATTAATAACATCTTCATTCTGCACAGTATTTCTGAAATGTATAGAATTTTCAGAGGTTTTTGTTGTGTGATATTATCGCTTTGGTACATTATCTTCAATTGAAATATGAATTGACAGCATACGCTGTAATACATAGTGGTCTCTGAGCTGAAGCACAAACTACTCCATTCCGATATATCTGCTTTGTCTCCTTGAAGAAATCCAGACTATCTAGTTGAAATCCAATTATAAGATGCTCACTGGTGACTGGCCCTATTCAGGTAGGCAATTACCTAGGGTTCTGGTGGGATGTCGTGACCAGTAGGCTGCAGTTGGTCGGGTGTGAGGACAAATACTGACCGAAGACATTGGCTAGCGGTTGCGCTATGTCGTGAATTGGCAGAAGTTAGAATTTATGGACTGGACATTGGATCAGGTCCCAGTGACTCAATGGCCTATGAGCTCGCCTTGTAACCAGAAAGTCCTGGGTTCTGATGAAGAGTCCCAAACTAGGACTAGTGAAACAGCTGTCCAATACTCCCAATTAGTTTTCCAATGGTTCTCTAACCAATGTCAGCTTATGAGGAAATCATGTAATCAATCAACCAAATCCCTACAAACCAATACTTGAATTGTAAGATTTTCAGAACATGTATATTTTAAGACAGCAGGACTAAACTGGAGAGCAGGTATCTCACGCATTTGGAGACATACGTTGCCACCGACAGTCATGCCATTCCTCACTTTTAGTAGGAACTTGCAAATCAGGAGCTGGTTAACTTTTTAAATACACACAAGAGTAGATAATACCATCAGAGGTCACATTTTAATCGATACAACGAAACCGAACTAGAGGAAATATATACATGGAACAGAGAGTTGGAGGTTTTCGGTAGCCCAAAATTTTAAGCTGACCGCTACCTAGAGTAAATTTTTTGTCTTCTTGAATTGTTGTATATTAAATAAATTGCAGTGCCTTTATTATATTTTATTTTATATAGTAAATTATCTTAGAACCAAGTTCACGTAAGCTATCCAAACACATTACTGGATGACCTAAGCATTAAGAAATTAAGATGAGTTTATACATCTGTACTAGATGGAAATTTAGTTATCTCAATGCCTGTAGCATAGATGGCACTGAAATTGAAACCTATTCAAACATTAAATACCCTGGATTAGTTCTTTCCTCTGACCTTTCATGGTCATCCCACATCTTACCAGTCTCTAAGAGAATGTTTCGTCTTACCTTCTACATTAAAAAGTTAAGACAATCAGGTATCAACCAACCTTTAGTTTTGCAATTTTTAAACTACTGTATTTTACCTATTGTACTCTATTACTCTCCATTAATCTTCCCTGGGCTTCTCGAAAAAGACTATATCATATTACAAAGGCTATTAAATGCTGTGAGTAGGGCTTTTGGTCTTCCACGGTGTGAGCTCGCCAATATTATAGTCCAGAGACACATCAATTCCTGTACAGAATGGGCAAAGGCTGTACTGTCAGATCCTCTGCACCCCCTTTATTCACAATTATCCCCTTGTATCTCATCAGGTAGGACGAGAAGTCAGTATAAAATGTTATATGCTCGCACCACTAAGTACAAAAATTCTACAATACCGTATTTAACCCGTATTTTATGTGATAAAGACGTGAAACATATAAGTTACAATGTAATTAGCAAAGTGAATCGACCCCTTCATCATTCATCTTTCTGTAATTTTTAGGTGTCACCCTTCCTATCGTTTAATTATAACTTTGCTATTTTATTTTAGTTGTTATTACTATTATTACTATAATTTTATACTTTATGCATATTTTTCTTCTTATCGCATAGTGTAATTTGCTGCATAGCTACTATAAGAACATTTTGTTATTATTATTATTATGTAATGTTTATTTTTTGTCGTATTGAGTAAATTAGATGCAATATTGTACTGAATGCTGAAAATCCCTTGGTGTATCATTAGTACTGTTTTTGGAATAAAGCAAAAAAAAATTATTATTATTAAACAGTGCGTCGTTGGCATACTGGTTAGGACGCTCGCCGACCATGCACATCGTCCGGGGTTCTATCCCCGGCCACCAACGCACTCCTTTACCTCACTAAGCCAGAAATAATGCTGGTAAAGAGGGAAGGTTGGGCATGAGGCTAGCAACCCCATCCTGTAAAAAACTAAACACTGCTACAGAAACTTCAAGCCACTAGCTTCAGGCCCTATGTGTTCCACTCGGAACGTGAAGGAAAAAAAGAAGAATTAAACAGGCCGCTGAAGTAATGAAATTTAAGTGAATTCTAATGAGTAAGTGAATACATACGTGAAGAGTTATGATTGACAGTCGCTGACACTGAAATCCAGGATGTTTACTTCGTCTCAGTTTTAATAGTCATCAGCCACGGGAGTCTTAATCTCCATTGACTCACAGTGTTCCCACTGAGGGATCCATTGACCCAGTACACATTGTTTGAAAACACCAAAGCATAATGATTTGGATAGCAATTTATTCACTGCCATTTTTTAATGTAATACTAAATACTGTGTGGCAACAATTTACTGTTAAAGTAGAAAATTCTAACTAAATTTCTCTCTTTTTTATTTTTTTACGTTTATTTACAGGAATGTTTTTATGCCATTTTATCAAAGCCTAAAATCCATGAAGAATTCTTTAATACCATATTCCAAAGTATTCATAATGCCTATAGTCCGGCGGATAGTTTACCGAAGAATAAATCATTTATAAAAGAAGAAGATACGTCACCAACAAGTTATACAAGTTAGTTTTTATTTGAAGTATTTTGCTTGTATATTATCAGTTAACAGTTAACTTGAACAAAGTAAGAAGAACACATTGAGCTGGATAAAAGTGGTGTCATTGCATCTTGCATGGAGGATTTTATCATGAGCTGACATCAGTTAAAGAACCACTGGAAAACATGGGAGTACTGGACAGCTGTTTATTCCCACTGGTTTGGGAGTCTTCAGCACACACCGGGGTTCGAACTCAGGACCTTCTGGTTACAAGGCTAGCGAGCTCGTAGACCATTGAGCCATTGGGACCCGATCCAATGATCCTTGAATTCTAACTTCTGCCAATTCACGACATAGCGCGACCATTTCGTAATGTCTTCTTCGATGAGTTACTGCCTCATCTTTGACCTGCTTTACCCTACTGTTTACGTCTTCCCACTAGAACTCCAGGTTAACTGCCTGAATAGGGGAAGTCCCTAGTGAGTATCTGATAGATTTTCAAGTATCGAAGAAGACATTTCGAAATGGTTGCGGTATGTCGTGAAACGGCAGAAGCTAGAATTCAAAGACCATCGGATCGGGTCCCAATGACTCAATAGTCTACGAGCTCGCCTTGTAACCAGAAGGTCCTGGGTTTGAACTCCGGTGTGTGCGTACTGATGAAGAGTCCCGAACTAGTGAGACGAAACAGTTGTCCAGTACTTTCAGGTTTTCCAGTGGTTTTCTAACTGATGTCAGCTCATGATGAAATCCTCCATGCAATCAAACAAAATCTCTACATAACCAATACTTGGAAATTTTTTCTGTTTATTTTCCTTATTGTCCTTTCTAATACATGATTAAAGGAAGAAAAGAAATTAAAATAAACTTACCTGTTATGAAAAATTGTCATCATTCAAGGGTTGAATGTGACTAAAAATAGTCAGTAGAATAAGCTCTAAATACCAGATTTGCACGTCAAAGCAGAAGAATTGTGATCCAAGCAGACGACCGTATCAAAGAAGTTGAAACAACCTATCAGTTTCCAAAAGGAGAATTCGGGTCTTTTAGTCGATCCTAACTTTTAGCTTTCCCTAACTAAAACTAACCCAAGGTAATCTAACCCTAGTTATATCTAATCTCTCTGTAACGTAACTGTTATGTACTCGTCGCCAAATTATTGCTATGTACTGGTCGAGAATTTAATAGTCCTGACGCAAGAAGGCGGAAATCAGAAGACCACTAGGTTTGCGATGATACTTCTATTTTCCAAACACAAGGAGAATGCAAAAGTGGTATCACACCAAAGTGGTCACACAAGATTGTGTGAGCGAAATATATATGAATGTCCAGACAATTGTGTGAACAAACCAATAGACAGTCTTAACATGAATGGCTAATTATAATGGAGTGTCGATCCATATATACATAGCAAAATATAGCAGACATGTACACAACCACACATATAATATGGATATATGTCACCAAGCAACGGACTGTCAACAAACACTCATATTATATATAATATAAGAGGAATATACATTGTTAAAGGAGACAGGTTCATCAAAGTGAAATGGTCACAGACTAAGCGAGCAAACAGAAAGAGAGATCACCATATATATATATATATATATATATATATATATGGATACATATCAGTAACATCAGCTTAATTTTAACCTGTTCCTACCTTAAAGTTAATCTTAATTTTTCATTAAATTAACCAGATATTTCCAAGAATTAGTTTGTAGGGACTGTGTTTGTTTCAGAATTAAACCACGGATTGTTGTCAGTTAGGGAACCATTGAAAACCAGCATTGGAGTACTGGACAGCCGTTTCGTCAGCCTGGTTTGGGATCCATTGGCATTACGCACTCAGTGGACCTTCCGGCTTCAAGGCAAGCTGGTTCGTATACCATTCACCCATCGGGACCCGATTCAACGAATCATGAATTCTAACTTCTACCAATTCGTAATTTTAGCGTGACCACCAGCCAGTGGGTGCGTACTGACGATGAGTCTAAACTAGGACGAAACAGCTGTCCAGTAATTCCGGGATTTTTATGGTTCTCCAACTGATATCAATCCGTGGTCTTACCTGAAATAAATAGAATCCATACGAACTGGGTCTTGAAAATAAATAACCACTCCTATTAAATACTTTTTCATAGTCTTTTTTTAATTCCTTTACGTTCTCAGTGGAACATACGGCTTCTAGCTAGAGGTTTGAAGGTTTGGTATCTCTGGTGTTTATTTCTATGAAGTAAGGTTGTTAGTCTCATACCCGACCTTCCCTCTTTACCAGTCTTATTACAGTTTTAGAGAGTTGAATCAGTGGGTCGGCCGACGATCGAATTCAGGACCACATGTGCAGTTGGCCAGCATTCTACCGTTGTGCCACTGATGCACAAAAAATTTCTAAAATCTTCTAAAAGTTACTGCCATCTCCAAGTAATCTTATTCAGAGAATAGACTACTGGATTCCTAGGGTAAGAGTAAAGAGTAGATACTACCCCTAGAAGAACCTGGAGACAACCAACCAGACCTGTCAACATTGGAAAAAGATGCCTTTCATAGTAGGCTTTTTAAGTTCCACCATGATTTAGCGTTAGTATTGGGGCTGATGTAAGTGTAGGGTAAGGCTTAGGATAGAGTATGGTGAGGTCTAGAGTAGGATGTAGGTTAGGGTAAAATTAGGGTGAAACTTGTAACGAAGGTTACAAAAGGCATCCATTTGGAGTGTTGAGAGTTGTGACTATCACAATCAAGATATCTTCGTCATATAGTGATACATTCTTCAAGATTAGTGAACTCTAATACTCGTACAGATTCTAGTTTTATTGAAGGATTCAGGCCGTTAAAAAAAGGATTACAGTGATGAATGTCTTTAACTAGTCTTATAAGAAAATCGGACGTGTACTTGCAGCATATTACAGGAACATATATTATATAATTCCCTTTTATTATATATATATATATATATATATATATATATCCTGTAAATATACTTTTGTACCTAGAACAATATGATTGGTTAGTCCAAGGTTGCTGCATCGGTGGCACAGCGGTTAAGACGCTCGCCGACCATGCACATGGTCCGGGGTTCGAGCCCGGCCGGCGCACACCTTTACCTCGCCAAGCCAGTAGTGAGACTGGTAAGGAGGAAAGGTTGGGCATGAGGCTAGCAACCCCATCCTGTAAAAAATCAACACTGCTACGGAATCTTCAAGCCAATAGCTTGGAGCCCTATGTTCCACTGGGAACGTGAAGGAAAAAAAAAGTCCAAGGTCACTTAACTGTGGTCACTATTCTTGACTACTGCCATTACCAGTATTAACTTTGTATCACCGGACTAAAATCTCATGAGCAGGTTCAAGCTCAAAAAACACAAGTGTCTAGTAGTTGACATGGTGAAGGAAAACTCCTGTGCACGCATTTATGTGTTTCAGCAATATTTCTAATGATGTCAATCTAAAGTTTGTTCAGGAAACCAGCTTCATTTAGAGGACCACTGACAGCTGCTTGATATAGATTGAGACCCTTCAGCAGAATGCATCCAAGACACCGTCAGGGGTAGAATTTAAAGGTAACAACAATTGATGAGCCAGTGAACTCCATACTAGTAGCTGAATGGTGAACTGGCTCGTCTTGTAACCTGAAGGTTCTGAGTCGCAGTCCTTGGTCAGGTCGTGGGGGATAGGTACTGCCGACCATTTCGGAACTAGGATGGAGAAATATATATATCCAGTGCTTCTTGATCTTCAATGGTTCTCCAACTGATATCACCTTAGGACCATACTTGAATGAAATCAAATCCTTACAAACGAACACTTAGGAAGACTTCATTTCAGTTGGTTAGTTATTTTAAAGTATAATTTCAGGTCTCAGTGAATCTGACACAAAAAAATTTAAAGTGGTTATCATTTTTATTATAAAAATTTTTTTCTTAATATGTAGGTTATTCATCTCAACTACCGTCTGGTAAATTTGTGACAACTTTAAAAACGTTGACATTTTTGCAAACTCTATGCAACCGAAGTAATATAAGACTACAGGTAATTATTATATATAATCGTATTCGTTGACATGGTTGTTTCTGTCTAAAGCTGATATAATAGTTGTTTTTTTACCTAACTTTTCTAGTGATAACTGTCTAACTGGTTTCAACACAGATATTTGCACAGATATACAGCAGTTCGAGAGCTGCTACACTCCCTCTTTTTAGAACACATACCCAGAGAAGTGAGTAAAGAGAAATTCAAAAGAGATATAATAGACGGAGATGTGGAGCAAAAAGAGTAGTTATATGGAAAACATGACAAATGAAAATGAGTGAATGCATCTGTGCCAGCCAGCCAGCCAGCCATTTGGAACCAGCCATTTGGAACTATCCCTTTGAGCGACGTCGCCAATTGTCTCCAGCCTTCATTGGTTCATACCATCCCGAGGAGCACAATCAGGCAGCCTATATCCCCTTACGTAACTGGCTTAACCTAACTGTTGGGGATTTCATTGCTTGATGCCGAGTTTCCGTTTGACAACAACTAGCTCTTTTCCAGCCTGATCAGTCCCATTTCAGTTCACATTTCCCATCAAGGAAGATGATGGCTAGAAAGGCATGCGTAACACATGTCCTAACTGTCTCAGTCAATCTGGATTCACAAACTCGTCGACTGGTTTTCCCTCCTTACCTACTTACGCCTAACCTCAATATCACTCACCCTATTATACCACCTGATACGAGAGATAGGACGCAGCAACCTATGATCAAAGACAGCTAGCCAGGCTCTTCATGTGTCCTACTTCCAATAGGCATGTTTCACAGACATAAAGGAGTAGGATGGAGCGAAATATTGAGCAGTACACAACACATCATTTCATCGACAGTCAGCCAGATATCACGTCTACACCAGAGGTGTAAGCTGGCAAATACCAAATGGTCCTTCTGTATCCGTGCTGAGATTTTGTCAGCCGTCAACCCGCTGGCGTTTGGGGGTGCAACTCCCTATATTAGGTGAAGTGATCAACGCGCTGTTGTGCGTCACTCACTCCCTATCTTTAGGCTAGGAGTCAACGTAGCCTACTTCTGTAGCATCACCTTTCATCTGACAAAATAGAACTGCATGCCGAACATTTGGAGATTGTTGTTCAAGGTGTTCAGAAGACTCTCTCTGGATGATTATATATATATATAAGGTTCCATCAGGATTCAAGTAAGCATGTCATTTGATTAGTAATTGCAACAATTGCCTACCAAACAAACTCACACTTACAAATAAGTGGGATATTAAGCGAGATGACTAAGAAATTTGGAAACCAGCAACAACAACAACAAGCACAGACCACCACCAATAGGTAGAAACCTAGAGGAAGTTATCCATTTCACTTATTTAAACGAGAAACACCATCATCAATTTAACTGTATGAGGCACGGATGATGAAGTCAGGACCAGTAAAATCAGTGTAGAATTTCACTGCACCCAAATGAATGAACACTAATATCAGGTTAGGGTTACTATATGGTTCACAGACCAAGTGTTCGTGTGACAAAAGACATTTCGAATACACCAATGCAGGTTTTTATCAATATCTGCCTCCGCCAGCTGTTGACTGGCTAGCTAGGATAGGCGGCAAGAAGCTCTGACAAAGAATCAACCGGCAACCTGCATCCAAACCGACGTGCCGAAGTAAGTGTAGATGGATCGCCACACACTGAAGGGACTCTTGAGTGAGTTTACACACAATGCAGATCTTAGGATGGAATCCGAATGGTAATGAAAAATTAGGCGTGGGTCCAAAGTTGACATGGATGAGATGTAAGATTATGAAAAATCGTGTAGCCAGCTATCAAGGTTCTTTTCACTCTTATTCCAGCTTTTATGTCTCCATCAATGCTTGTGAATAGATTTGAACATGGTAATGGGTATGATTCTGTTTGCCGACGTTCATGCAGACGGTAGTAACCTATTAGGATAGGTTAATTCGGCCGGCAGGTGCATTTTTCTTTATAAGCTAGATTTAAGGAAACGAGCCTATTTCATCCTCTTATCCTAAATGTCACCACTTCTGTTCGATAACCATTTTGAATTAATTTCATGCTCACAGAACATCTTAAGGAAAAATCTTTCAATGAAACAGTGAAGAATTAAAGTGATAATTAGATCAGTAACTTTCTGGAATGAAGTTTGGTGTAATCAGTTAAGGTAATTTAACAGAATTTTAAATTTTCCCGTCGACCGAAGTTCTCGGTCTCAGGTGGACATGTTGGCTTCTTACCGTCAGCAGATGCTTCGACGATGTCTGGGCATTTAATTAGTATTTAATTGGTGGATGGTGACTAGCAGTGGAGGCCAGGATGCTCATTTCGTCCTATTTGGGACTCGTCATCTGGATATACTTGCATTTCTCTGTGGGAACATCATCACTCACTGAGAAATGCCGGTACATCTACTGACGAGTCGCAAATAGGACGAAATGAGCATCCTGGCCTCCACTGCTAGTCACCATCCACCAATTAAATACTAGTTAAGGTAATGTTCACAATTAAAATCTTATTAAAGCACCAGCACTGATGGGCTGACTACTGACTACATTTCAGCACAGATACAGAAGGTACTTCACCTTTGGAGTAGATTTAATATCTGACATCCATCAGTGGACATGTGTACCGCACCACAGCTCACTCTGTCCTCGCGCAGACACGGTTATTGAAAGTGGAAGATTTGAAATAGGCTAGTTGTGCTGGATCGAAGATGTTTGCTTTGTATCACATGTGTTAAGCGGTAAAATATACGATGAGAAATAATGAGGATAGGCACAGAACACTAAATGAGGAGAAGTCATTCAATGAGGTCATGAATTTACATCATTTGTGATGACTAGAGCATATGTAACGTATGCTAAGCCACCGCCTGCCTGAATAAGCAATATTACCTGATATACGGTTCGGTTGGAAAAAAACAGTTGTGTGTGGTAAAAATAAAACCTGATATCAATCTACCAAGTCTTAAGTAATTGTTTTGAGCCAGTCACGTACGACGACGGGAGGGAGAGAAGAACACCTAGTTGAAGTCCTCGAGAGTCCAAGAACCAATGGTTGAAGGCTATTAGTGATATATTTCAAAATTATTCTCTCTATTTTGTAATCTTTCATAATCCATCAACTCATCATGTTCCTCCATGTTAATGTTTTTTTCCTCTTATGCATTCCTGTTCCCTTAAGTTATATTGACTTCCTTTTTTCTGTCTTTTGTCTACGTTTGCATGTTACATGGATTGCGGTAAGTTTAACTCTTGCAATTATATGCAGATAGAACTATAAGTTGAAAATCAATCACTCAGTCAGTCTATATGCTACCATTTAATTCCGATTAATTCAATGGACTCTGATTCATGGAATTAATAATGTTCCTAAGAAATTGCTTTCAGGAGATCATAAGATTTTGGGTGCTGTGGCTTTTTCTAAGCTGGATATCTTAAAATTATGAAGCTTACATTGTCATTTTTAGACACCTTCAAAGCGTGACAGGCTTCTTTCTATCTTTAAGGCAATCTATGTGGTTTGAAAATAAGAGTTATATCCATCGTTAGGTTTGAGTTGTTTTTATTCGAGTTCAATATGTCCAAACCAAGTTCACTTTTAACAGTTTGAAAAAATTTGGGCATTCGGTATATGATATTCATTATAATAAAGGTATTTTTGTATTTCCCAATGAATGTAAACAAAACGATATTGCTGTTCTTACTGACGTTTCGCTATTTAATGCTGCTGCTAATAGCTTTATCAAAGTAGCATTATTAAACCGGAATTTGCAAAATCCACTCAGCTTATATATAATAAAGAGTTAAGGGGTGAGGAAATAGACTAATTAGCTCAAGTTAAAGCGATAAACTGAATGTCAAAATAACAATGAAGATCACTAAACCAAATAGCAGAGGTAATAGTACATCTGTTATGATATCAAAATAAAGTATACTAACCTGATCATCTTTCGTCAGTCCGGGGTCGTTTTTGTTGTCAGGTTGGTCACTTGGTAAAGAGAACAAAACCAGGTGTAGATTGTTGGATTTGATCAGTGTGTAAAATTATAAAAGTAGTGTGTGTGTTTACATAGTTAACTAGCTTATCACACTCGTGGTGATTTTGTCACTTCATGGGGGAGGGGAGGGAGATGTTGTAACTAGGTCAGATTCTGTTTTAGTCCATCATTCCTATTCAGGCAATTTGTATTCCACTTGATATGAAGTGCTTCTGATATTAGACGTCCTTTGTGATTTCTGAAGTTTTTCTGGATGATGATTTCAATGTTGTCAAAATCAATTTTGTGGTCTGATTCTATAGCGTGTAGACAGATCTGTGGCTGATGAGTTTTCAAGCTTTTCTAGTTCGCTAACTGGATTTCTCGACGGTCGAAGAGATGCTCTACGGTGTTCATTTCTTCTGATTTTCATTTTTCATGATGTTTGTCCGATGTATATCGCATCACATTCCAAGCATTTTATTTTATAGACACAATTAGATCGAGAATCTTTAGGGATTTGGTCTTTTATATTGACAAGGTTGTTTCGTAGTGTGTCTGATGTTTTGAAGAAAACTCTAATGTCGAGCTTATTGTGTACTCTTCTAAAATCGTCTTACGTCTCTGCTCTATATAAAATGACGACTGTTGAGGTTCATGTTTTCGGAATGCGTTTTCGGCCATACTTAATGTCTGTGTTGATTTTGTTGATGAATTTCCTTGGGTAGTTGTTTAGCCTGAGAGTTCCAGTAAGGTTTGATATTTCTTCTTCTTTTCCTTGCTCGTCCGTCGTGAGAGAGTGTGCTCGTCCAAGAAGACTTCAAACAACTGAAATCTTTGCACTGATGAGGCGTGATGATTCGAAGTCTAAATATTTATTTGCATGGGTTTTCTTCCTGAATATGGATATACTAAAATGTCTGTTTTCCCTTCTCTTAACTAGGCAGTCTGGAAATGGTAGTTCACCGATATCTGATTGTGCTTCCGAAGTAAACTGGATTCTGGGAGATAGACAGTTTATTTTCTCCAGGAATAAATTGTGTAGATCACGTTTTATTTTTTGACTTTCAATATGCCCCTTTAACTTGACCTAAGTCTATTTTCTCATTTCTTAACTCTTTGTTATATATATGCTGATAATTTGAAATTTCGGTTTAATAATGCTACTTTGATAAAGCTATTAGCAGCAGCATTAAATAGCGAAACGTCAGTAAAAATAACAAGCCAAAAATTTGGGTTTAATTTTTTCCTTAGTATACTATATTTGCTACTAGTAACGAATAATAATTAGGTTTGTCCACTGGCTGATATCAGTTAGAGAACCTTTGAAAACTTGGGGCAGAGGGAAGATGCCTCGTCCTAGTCTGATGCTCTTCAGAAGTATGCATCCATAACCCACGACTTTAAGGATACAAATCGAGCTGTGCGATCATTCTGTCATGTTCTATGGATTCTAACTTCTGTAAATTCCCGACTTTGTGAGATTGACTGATCATGGAGCTAAATTATCAGTTAGAGACTAACTAAAAACCAAAAAGCGACGGAGAGCTGAGTTTGATCCACAGTGGGATCATGGATACAGACTGCTGAAAAGTTGGAAATTAGGACGAGACCGGTGGCCAGTATTATTAATAATCTCTTGGGTTCCGAGTGGAATATTAGGGCTTCAGCAACACATCTACACTTTCTTCTATTATCTGTTGTCCTCTTCACCCGCTTCCACGATTACACATAATCTCTCATCTCGTCTTCGCCACACCACCTCCTCCGTGTCACCATCGGACAATCCACTCATCGCTTCCCATTGGGATTCCACTAGAACGATGGGCTGTATTGAGAGTTCCATATCCACCTGCATTTTCTCCTACATATTTGTTGAGCAGTAGGCTCTTGGTCCAGTACTTTCTGGCTCTCAGTGGTTCTCTAATCGATATCAAGCCGTGACTAAACTTGGAATCAGGCAAAGACCTACAAATTAACACTAAAAAGTGACGTTATCCAAAGTGATTTCATTTCCCCTTAACTTGAATTAGATTTCATTCTGTTTATCTTATTATCTTTACACTAGGAACTTCTGCGCATACAACCGCATAATGTGACAACATTCAATCTAATCGAAGAAATTAAATCGCTATTCCTCAATTTATGGAAAACTAACGATAATTTTATTGTTTCTTCTATGAATACTTCAACCGCCAACACTAATCAGGAAAACAATCAATTTGATGACAATAATCCTCAGTGTCGTGTTGATGCTAGTGCTAAAACTACCCAAGAAGGACACCTCAAAGTCAATGGTATAATACCAGTTTCAAAGCTACAGAATCTTGCTGAAAAGAGGGGAGCGAAACGGTTGTCTATAAACACTGGAGTTTCATTGTCTGTGAATAGTTTTCATAATGCTAATCAAAGTCAGAAATCTCCAAGATTTCACACTGACAGTTATAATAATAATAATAATAATTCTGATTCAACAGTGTATTCATCCTCCTACACTGACATGATGCTACTTATCCTGACATGTTTAATTCAATTCTGTCAAGGACCATGTATCAGCAATCAAAATGATCTGGCCTTTGGTAGTCCAAATATTTTAAATGAGTTAGTGAATTTAATATCAGATATACCAGTATGGATGATAAATGATAAACTGAATGAGATCAGATTCCAGCTGGCTAAAATCAGTGTAAGATGTGTGAAAATTATACTTACTTGTATTGATTTCGTAGGGATTTTTTCTGTTTGATTGCATGGAGGATTTCATCATGAGCTGACATCAGTTAGAGAACCATTGGAAAAGCTGACTGGGAGTACTGGACAGCTGTTTCACTAGTCCTAGTTTGCGAAGCCGTGATCAGTAGGGTACAGCATGTTGAAGATGAGGCAGTAATTCATCAAAGAAGACATTGTGAAATGGTCACACTATGTCGTAAATTGGCAGAAGTTAGAATTCAAGGACCACTGGATCAGGTCCCAGTGGTTGAATGGCCTACGAGGAGCTAGCTCGCCTTGTAACCAGAAGGTCTTGGGTTCGGACAATGGCGGTGGGTGTGTACTGCTGAAGAGTCCTGAACTAGCATTACGAAACAGCTGTCCAGTACTTCCAGGTTTTCCGGTGGTTCTCTAATTGATGTCAGCTCATGATGAAATCCTTCATGCAATCAAATTATACTTAATTATAATTTAAATCAGAAGCCGTTTTAATGTTGTTTTTTTCACTTCAAAAGGTGCATTAAGTGTGTGTTTTACGAAACGAAGTGAATAATTAATAGTTTTGAAGAAAATATGAACACTGGGTTTTGTAATATTGGTTCCATTGTAGATAAGTTTTTATTTTGATAAAATCACACAGTGTTATATAGAATCACTTACTGGTGACCACATTTCGAGCACAATTTATTGCCACTCATATAACTTTGTTGCTTTATTTATATACATGAGTAACAACAGTCCATGTTTAGTCATTTGAATAAAATCAGTATAAGATAAAGTATAGTCGGATATAATAATATTAATGTTATCAATCAAATATAGTCAGATGTGATATAAGATGTTTTTATACTAAAACAAATAAGTAACTTGTTAGAATGTTGTGATGTGCTTAAATTGAAATAGAATTTTGAAATTATTTATTATCCTCTTCTGATTTGACTGGCGGTATTAATATCTTCCATATTTCTGGTGGTTGCACTGAGTCATTTCTGTTGCATGTGTTGTGTTGAGTGTGTGGACGCGATGAACGAGACATGATTCTGCAATAAACCTCTCCCTCTCTCCAACTACCATTATTAATTTTTAGAATTTTGACTCTGTCCCACCCACTCTATTGTGTGGTTTTGTGTCAATGAGTTCAGTGCTATGGCTGTTTGATTTTTTTTTCTAAATTACTTATCTTCACGGGAACAATCATTTTAACCTTAGCTAAATTCTTATGTTCATGACAGGCGATCTGACTACTCCTGATCTACTAGTTTGACCTATGTAGTTGACTTAACTCACAGTCATTACAAGGTGTTTTCTAAATATTACTGAACAACGCTGTGTGATTTATCAAATAAAATCTTATCCATAATGGAGTTATACTATACCAAGCTGCCCAAGTTTTGTACTTTATTTATGATATTAGTTATTATAAAAGTGTTTCTGTACATCAAAGGCTATCAGAAGAGTACTCAATAAATGTAACATGAAAGTTTTCAAACAATTAGTTCCCGTTATGAATTTAGATAAAGCAATAAGAAGACTGCAGATCGAGAGGTCCCCGGTTCATACCCGGGTGCCCCCTTGACTTTTGGGGTACCTAGCCTGTCATATGCTCTGATGGTGTTCTCGTGACTTTTGTTGCCATATCTGCCAAGGGCGATGGGATAGTACGCGACCTAATGGCTGTGTGCAAGGTTTGAAGAAGGCTGTGTGCTATATGCATGCGCTTCGCCCTGATAATGTTTATGTGCGTCGGTGGTATAGCGGTTAGGACGCTTGCCGACCACGCATATGGTCCGGGGTTCGACTCCCGGCCGGCGCACTCCTTTACCTCACTGAGCCAGAAATAATACTGGTAAAGAGGAAAGGTTAGGTATGAGGCTCACAACCCCATCCTGTAAAAATTAAACACTGCTACAGAAACTTCAAGCCACTAGCTTGGAGCCCTATGTTCCACTGGGAACGTGAAGGATAAATTATTATTATTAATAAGAAGACGTAATTTGTCTGGATCGTGTGTAATGTGTATTTGTGCAACACACATTTCGAACAGTCTTATCACACCATGGACTTGTCATATGTGAAAATAACAGCTTGATAATTAGACAAAGACTGAACGCTGCTGTTAAAAAGACTATGCAGGTAATATCATTAAAATTTAGAATGTGAAGCCAATATATCTATCTGAGCCCTTCAAACATGTGAAAAAAATGATGTCACATCCCACTGTATTTACGAACTTGAATGTACATGTGGCCACACATACACGTGGGAAGGAGTCATCGATCCCTGCAAGTAAGGACTGGCTTCAGAGCATATTCCTAAATAGCCTCAGAAGCAAACAGAATCCACAGAACCCTTTGATGGTGAGAACAGGAGACCTAGCTCTTCTATCGCGAAACATATTATAGAGATAGGACATAAAATTGATGTTAACAGATCTTTTAAACCTATCTATAAAACGTGTTTTGGGCGTATCCTAAAGTCTGTGGAAGCCCTAGCTGGAAATTAGGAAGTTTAAACCACATTTATGCGTTCAAAGCAACAATTCATCATTACATTAAACCTTCTTTGGTAAATTTTGTTTTGATACCATAGCAGATGTACTATTAACTCTGCTATTTGGTTTAGTGATCTTCATTGTTATATTGACCGTGAATATGTCCTTTTAACTTGACCCAAGTCTATTTTCTCACCTGTTAACTGTTCATTAATTTCATATATACACATTCCTATGAGATGTCCGTGTGTGATCAGATTGTTCAAAATGTGTTGCGCAAATACACATTACACACGATTCAGACAAATTACGTCTTTTTATTGCTTTATCTAAATGAAATGTTTCGTCAAAACATCAGACATACTAAAAAGCAGTCTTCTTAGTGTGAAAGAAAGAATTCTGAAGGATTTAAATATCTTTGTCTATAAAATGAAATGCCCAGAATAGAATGTGATATATATATATATATATATATATATAATATATATATATTACTTATCGGACAAGCCTCACATGACATCATGATTTGGAGACGTGTACACCACTCAGCCTGTATTCGAATACAAAGAAATCCAAAGAAACTGAAAAAATTAAAAAAAAATATTTAGTCTTTGGTCTACGTGTTATAGAATGAGGTCACAAAATTGACTCTGACAATAGTGAAATCATTCAGAAAAGTTCAGAAATCCCAAGGAATATCTAATATCACAAAACTATAATATCAAGGGGATTTTAAAATTTTCTGCATAAAGCCATAAAATGACCTGCTTCCAAATTCACATCCCCTAACGGAGTGACAAAACCAACACAAATATAATTAGTAAACAAATGCTGTTTTTATAATTTCAAGCGCTTATCAAATCCAACTTTTTATACATAGTTTATTATCTTTACCAATTTATCTGCTAGACAACGGAAAAACTACCTTACGCTGAAAGCCTGTACTCACGTTACTGTATACAGACTGAGATTTTATAATTTCTGGTATAATATTACTTTAATTAATAAAGCCATTAGCAGCATTAGATAGCGAAACGTCAGTAAAAAAATCAGTATCTTTGTTACTAGATGATTGAAGGTAATCGGAGGGAGCCTTGCCTTATCTAGTTTTCTTGCTAGTTGGCACTCACCAGTCAGCAAGGCGTGTCTGCAATCGTTAAGGAACTCACACTCCTTCTCAGATTCGTAACTGGGTCACTAAGTGCTGCTGTCTCAGACGTTACGATTTTAGCTTTTAAGGCTCGTGATTGACCTCCTGTAGGACTATATTGGACTTTGTTTTCGGAAACTTGACTGATAGAATTCAATCCTCACCAAAGATAGGCCTGGAAACACTATACTGGTTACTGACTAGTATTCAATCAAAACAAAAACCATATTATTTTGAAATAATAGAGAAGATTTGTAGCTCAGGTGGATGATTTACAATTAATAGTGTTCTCTGAGCTGGTTGGTTTAATAACGGAGCATTACATCGGCCAAAGTGGGCATCCTCTTTGAATCAGAATCCAGGAACACAGATCAGCCGTGAAAAGACACGATATATATTCTCTTATATCAATGCACATAGACAATTATGGAAATCAGTTTGACTGGGTTAATGTCAGAATCTTAGACAGAGGAGTCACCAAAAGTGCTAGGGAATTCCTAGAAGCCTGGTACTCAAACGAAAATGCAATCAACAAACACGTTAATATAGACCAAATATACCAACTAATAAAGAGTATATCATGGGACCAGGAAGCTTAAAATCCAAGTCAATAGAAAATGGTCAATACGAATGTAAAGATGGTTAACGGGAGACACAATTATATCACTCTTGAAGAAATTTAAATCATTTCACTTTATGGTAAACATTGCGCTGAAGATGCCGTCCAGAAGAACAACGAAAGCTCTGCAACTAAACCAACCAGCTCAGAGAACACTAATAATTGCAAACCACATTATTTTGTCCACTATCATTATAAGCTAAAAATCTTCTCTATCATTACAAACTGTTTTAAATTGTCTGATGCAAATCTCAGAATACGCCTATTTGAGTTTTGAATAAAATACTAAATTCCGCTCAAATATTTGGTAGTGTGGTACATTTCTTTTGTGAAGATAGTTGTCTAGACTTTTGAAGGCTCGATTATTCAGTGTTGCCTTTTAGGTGAATTCAGTCTAGACAATTTTGTTCTCATCTTCAAAGCTCAATCATTCATGCATTTACACTCCTAGAAATACTTGAATAGAAATACTGGTAAATACAATGTAATGCATTAACTTATTCTTAGGAAGAAATGTTTTTCTTCTCAACAAATTTCTTTCCAACCTGTACAATTGTGTTTAAAACTGCGTAGAAGAAAAGGCCAGTATATAACTAAAATTATTTATTTGAATTGAGATGGATGAAATGCAGAAATATTAATTAATAAGCGGACAGGAATAGACATTTTGGAGAAATAGACGGAGTTAAAATTTAAATTACTATGAAAATAATAATAATAACTATGGTTCCAGAGACAAACTAAAATCTAATAAAAGATTAATCAGGGGGAAATTTTATTAGGAACTTGGGTTTTTCGCACTTCACAACAACTATAAGTGTGTCTAAATAGAGGTGCAGTTAATTCTGTCAACAGGTAGATATTAAACCACCTGTTCCAAATAGGCCATTAACTTACCACTGAAGAATCCTTTTTTCTGTCATCTGTCTAGGCATCAGAAACTGTATATTAGTTGTATCACACAGTGAGTGAAACAGTTTTATTTATTGGATGACAAGGTTTCGAACAAGATTTTTTACTGTTCATAATCATATCAATTATAATCACACGACTTCGAAGCTTGAGTTTTATAGTTTTCTTTGTTCTCTCCTATTTGTCGTCGTAGGCGTGGTAGTGGAATTTTCCAGATATCTGGCTGGACAGCTGTTGACTCATTCCTATTACACGTATTTGCAGTTGATTCGATAAACAAAGCTTCCGCTGTTATCAATCTCTTCCTCCACCCTGCTGTGACATTAGATTTTGAAACTGTCATCCTATCCCAGCCGGCCTATTGTGTGGTTGTGTGTAACTGCATGTAGGGAGTGCTATAGCTGAACTATTCTCTAGATTTCTTCTCTTATTCGGGTGAACCGATCCAGATTTTGCTAGGTTTTTCTGTTCGGCTAGTCATACTGCCCTTGTTCTACTAGTTTGACCTGTTTTTGCTTTGTTTATGTTGGCTCCACAGGATTGATCCTTTAACCGACAAGGCTTGTTTCTAATTGAGTTTGTGGCTGGTCTGAATACCAGCCTCTTTCACTCATGCCTTGTTAAGAATTCTGCGTAACGTGGTTTCCGAGGTTCCTTCCTTTTATGGAATTACTACTGATGATTTAGATTACTTATTGTTGGTGTTGTCTTGCTCATATTTGACATGCATGTCGTCATTATTAATATTATTATAAACATTAGAGGTGACAGGAATTCCCTCAAAACAATCGGAGCTGTGTGTGCGTATTTGCCACTATTACTAGCTTGACATGTTGGGGAACTCATATGTCCGTAAACTTTGTAATATTTTCCCATATTTGGTATTGCATTTGTGCATATTATGACTTATAGATGCTTCTGAATTATAGTCTATAGATAGAACTGACTCAATATTATTGTTGTCAGTAACAAGAATTCTTCAATTATTATGGACACATAACATGGTGACGAATTTATTGAGTCGAAAATATTATTTGATCACAAACCCTTCTTTTGAAATTTCTAATAGGCATTTTCAATCAAGTCTAAGAAATGTTTATGTTTCTGTCTTATTGACTTTGCATGCAGTGACGTAATCTGTAAGCTTGGCTTGCTTTTAATGTGGTTTAAAAACCTCAGCAGGTGGTGGTGGTATCTGTTTTCTATTAAATGTGTCGTCAGTTAGTACTTTTATGATTTCTTCTATCTTGTCTAATTACAGCCTAAGAAATAAGGAATGTAGCAAGATTTTTTACTTGTATTGCATAGGAAAGGAATTTTTCAAGCTTTCAGAACTTCATATAGTGTGTTTTTGAATGAAATTTTAGGGCTCACATAGTTAGTAATTATGATAGAACCTCTTACTGCACCTTTCTACGAGTGTTCTTCGCCTCTGCATTTAGTGAAAACAAGATTAATTTGTTGTTGTTGTTGTTGAGATGCATGTTAAGTTGAATGAATTACAGCCGGTAATATAAATCTAATTTGTTGTGAAAAATAAGTAGGCAAAATAACTTATAATTAACCTATATGGAAATCTGTATGTGTCTTATTATAAAATGACTTTATACTTCTCAGTGAGTGAAAAACAAGACGATAGTGACTTTGATTGGACATTTACTGCGGACTGAATTCTACGCGTCAAGTTTGCATTGTGATCACCGTGCTGGGTGACTCACCATCACAATGCACTTTACTGTTAATTGTTGATATTAGATGGTTGGAGGCAATCGACAGGAAACTTTGCTTGACCCAGTTTTCGTGCTAGTTGACACTCATCAGCTTAACACATCTGAATTCTTCAAAAAAACTCATGTTACTTTTGAGATTCAAACCCGTGTCACCCAGTGCTGCAGTAACAGCCGTTATCAATGAGCTATCCTGGCTCGCGAATGACAACCTCCTGTAGTAGTGTATTAGGTAATTGACTGGTGTGATTCTGTCTTTTGCAAACAAAGGATCAGAAACATTACACTACTAAGTATCCAATCAAATTATGTAATACATTCCCACATGAGGTGGTCAATCGTGAGCCCGGATAGCTCATTGGTAACGACTCTGACTGCAGCATTGGGTGATGCGAGTTCAAATCCTAGAACCGGTACCTTGCAGAAACATATACAAGAAACGGGTATATACCTAAAATATGTTTATAGCATTTTTATTGTCTGTGGAAGCAGATCAAAAGCACAATCGAAAGATCTATATTTAGAAAGTCTTCGTGGACAGGACAGTACATGCATTTCAAGAGCTTTGTTCCAATCCAGTATAAAAAGAACTTAGTCAGGACACTGAGTGCAACGTGCCAAAATCCTTAGTAACAAAACATCTTGTGGACAAAGAACATGATATCGACGCTGTCGAGTCATTCATTATTGTCAACAAAGAAAGAAACAGGAAGATGCTTGCAATTGCAGAGGCTTGTGAAATTCGAGTTTATAAACCAAGTTTCTGGGTGCAAAAGGAGATGGTCGTCACTCTGAATTTACCATGGTAATACGTTTTACTTATTATTCTACCTCTTATTATTATTATTCTTGATTCATTTAAAACTATCCTTTATCAGTAGCATTATCTTAACTCACTTCAACACTATTATTATTACTATAACTATTACTATTGATATTAGTCTATGTGCAATTCTCGTTATATTCCCTAATGACTAATTGTTTATCTAATTGATGTAATTAAAGCGTAATGCAATTTATCTTAATTTTGACCTCTCATACTCCCTCTCCCCTTATCTATTTGAACATGACCTGGAAAACATTCGCACGTGTCTTTCTGCATGATTAATTCAATGTAGTTTGTTCACTTATCAGTCTTATATCTCCCAATGTAATTTCAAAAGTGTATATATATCCGTGTATGTAGAGTATTCAGCTGAAGAAGAGTTCTACCGAAATTTGATGAATTCATTAAATCCTGCTTTATTAAACTTTATTGCGTGTTTTAAATTCGTATCGGGAAATAAATGTTTTCAAATCCTAGAAGGTTTATGAATTCCTTAAAGATTGCGGATACGCCTTACTGACTGATAAGTGCCAACCAGCACGAAATCTAGGTGAAGTGGGGCTTCCTTCCGATTGCCTCCTACTATCTAATGCCAAAATATTATGTTCTTTAATCACTGGCATTTTATTTGTGTTCCTAAGTTCATCAATGAAATTAATGTTACGCATCTGGTGATGAAATATCGGCCGCCTGCAAGTACATGTAAGGCGGTAAATACAGTTGAAGTTAACACGATCGAGATACTTATCTAATATTGACCGTATTAGTGATAATTTTGTGTTATAAATCATACATATTTATTCATATTAATCAAGGGAACGTTTTCATGGGTAAAAGGGTAGATTACCCACTAACCACATTTTATGTGGTTCAGGGTTAGATCCCCCACCCCCCACCTAGACACACTCTTTAACCTCACTTAATCCGCAGTAAGTTCAGTAAAGAAGTAAGGTTGGGCTTGAGGCTGGTAATCCCTTTTCCTCATAAAAATAAAATCACTACTAGCTACCAAAACTTCAAAACTCTATCTTGAAGCCCTATGTTTCACTCAGAACGAGAAGGTATAAAAAATAAATAAATAAAATCAAAGTAACGTGTAGTATGAAATGATTTGTCACTACACCTGGTTAACCGAAATCATTTATATCATCTTGTGTAAATGCACTACATTTTTCAGATGAATTTATCAGTTTTCGTGTATCTGAAATTATTTGAAATTATTACTTTTATTATTATTATTATAATTTAGCTTTCGTCCATAAAATTACTGCTAGCTGTATTGGAGGGACGTAGTGGAGATAATGTGTTTCAACGACTATTAGATCTCTGGCCAATCGATAAACTGGTATGTTTTCAAAACTTGAGAATTTATTATCAAGTTTATAAGACATTTTTTGTTCAAGACTTTGTTTTATTCATGTCTATGCCTACTATGAGTAAAAGAAAAGAGCAATTTTTTTTAGTAGATATCATGTTATTCACTAAATTCGGAATAGATTATATTCAAAATTGAAGTTGGTTACTGAACCAGCTGTATTTAGAAGCAATATGGCATTTGATCTCAACTCATCAGTTGAGTGCTGACGTATTCTTCTCGTGACCTAAAAGTCTTCGGGTCTGGTAAGTAAATACTGTTCATGTGTGAGTCTCTCAAGATTCTCCACAAGCCTTCGTTTCCCCCTTCATATTATCTCCATCATACCCCCCTAGGACGCAAGCCCAACTCGTTATTTCACATATGTATGTGTTCAGCTGGCGCTACAGAGGATAAAAGTAAAATACTGGTGCATACTCTTATTGAAAACGGATATCCTTTAAAAATTTTAAACCGATCTAGAAGATAGTTTGTTTCAAAGTCTACAATCTATCCTGTATCTAAGGGAGATGTTTCCATTGAATTACCATGCAATTGGGAAGTAAATAGTAGGATTTTAAGACACAGACTAAAAAGAAGTTATGTAATAATATGAATGGTTTGATGAGTGAGTCCTACTCAGGATGCACATAGAAACAAAGTAGATAATACGAAACTACATAAGAGTTCTAAATGAATACAAGAATTATAAGCAATATTTGTCTAAATTATTGATTTTTATTTTATTTATTTTGACCACATTATCTTTAATTTACGTGTTATTCTTATAAAATTAATTTATTCTATCCATTTCCACCTTTTAAATCTGTATTGATTTTCTTCGTTAACTATTAACCCATTGACACTGTTTAATTATTGTTAACAAACTTATCGCCACTTGATTGGCAAACTGTTGTATTGTAATTAAAATGCTATATATATTAAAGTAGAGCCAGAGATGAGGATCTAATTGAAAAGTAAATATTTCTTCGCTCAGTCTTTCTGTTTTCTAAATGTCTAAATAGGGATTTTTTCTTAATTAAAGAACAAGCAAAGAAACAAAATTAAGTCATCAGAATCAAAAACAATTCAAATCAAATGAAAAAAAGTTGTTACAATGACAGTAGAAGTGGTTGAGTAAGCTTCTTTTGTATGCACAGCTCCGGTTTTTCTATGTGAATGGCCAGAGATTCAGCGATACACAGGAGACGAAACCGTATTGCCTTTGATATGTTATTCTTGACTCTGTAGATTGCTTTGAAGAAGGAGTCGTTTGTTGAAATGGAATGATCAATGTTGACCAGGTGTTCAATTATCGCACTCCTTATTGCACCACTATTACCTTTTCACAGCCATTCTGGATAGTGTTCTTGAATCCTCTTGAACAGGGTACGCGTCGAACGACCTATGTACCTTTCTCCACAGCAGTAAGTGGACTGATATATACACATAGAAGTGGTCAGATGTGAAATCTTTTCCTTAAGGCTTCTGCAGATCAGCGGGGATTCGACAGAACTAATCTTAGCGTTGCTGCAAAGAATGTTCTCCTCAGAGATGATGCGATCCTTCTCTTGAGAACATCGCTTGCTAAATCTCCCTTGAAATCCAAGTTCATATAGTTCCTTTTCAGGCGCATGTGAAGTTTCGTTTCTCCAAATTTTTGGTTTGATATTTTTGTCGATGAATCTTATTGGGTATCCATTTTGGATGAAGATTTCTCTTAGAATATGTAATTCTGTTTTCGGATACGTCAAGACTACAGATTCGTCAGATGCGTGTGGTACTCTGACGGTACTCTGTCAAGCTTGTTGTGGGGAAGGCGAAACTTGGTTTTTTCGAGGATTGCATCGTGAATCATCAGTAACCTAACCATGACCAATTGTAATTTTGTTTGACAGACTTAATATACACACACCTATACAAAACAACCATATATATTTGCAATTGTACACCTAAGAAAATGAATTCGCCGCCGAAAAGAGACTCTCTCGCTGAACACTACGTGTTTTGTTTTCATTAATGCCTGGATAAAGATTATCCACGAATTGAAACGCAAGAAAGACAAAGGTGATGAAGATACCTAACCGGCAACAACATGTACCAATTTTCATCTCTTTCACAAATCTACCATGGGAAGCATTCTGTCAAACGCGGGTGATAGGTAGACGGATGAGGATGATGTAAAAGTCAGTCAGTCAGTCAGTCAGGATCGGAAAAGCAGGACAGACCTTCAGAACTGACTCTGAAATCTCAGTTAAAAACTGTGAATGCATTCAGGATAAGAAAAAGATTCAATTTTTTAACAGTGATATTCAGGCTGCACTTCTGAGTGAGTCAGACACTTAGAACACGTGACATGAAAAATTCTTCTAACAGGCTACAGTAGACTTTCTTTCATGAGATCACACGCGCCTACCCTTTCTTGAGGGGCATCCCTGCTAATGAGTGAAGATTTGGGTGTACATGTGTAACTGACATGGATGTGATATTGACAAGAGGAAATGAAAGCGCTTATATCAAAAATCGGTAATCTGCTAACTTTAAAAAAAATAAATTTGAAAACAGAACTGACTTTCTTTCCTTTAAAATTTTCCTTTTAGATAAATGCCATTCGAAATTATCATATTCTGTCTCAGAATCCAAATTTTACTTCGAATCATACAGACGAAATATTGCATCAATGTGGACATTCATTATTCATCTTGACACAATATGTAAGTGATATATAAAAGGTGTCCATCTTTTTGCCGGAAAATCTCCATTCTCTTTCAACATGACCCCAAGTATGTATGAGGCAGATGTCTACTAGAAATAAAAAAAAACAACAATTGAAGCATAGAGTGTCTATTTATTTTGAAAGTACTTTTTAGTCTAGTTGAAATAGAGAAGTAAAAGTGGAAAATTACTACTGTGAATATAGTCACGCAGAAATGTAGTTAGTCTCTTCTAAATTTTTTCAAGTACTGGTTTTGTTAGGATTTCATTATGGGCTGATATCAGTTAGATAGCCATTGGAAAACCACCACGATTTACACGACAGCTGTTTCGTCAGCCCATTTTGGGACTCTTCATCAGGACGCACCCCCGAAGTCCTAGGTTTTCCAATAGTTCTCTAACTTATGTCACCTCATAATGAAATCCTACATTCAATCAAACAAAATACCTACAAGACCAGTACTTGAAAATTAATCTGACGCTCACTAGCGATTGGCCCTATTCAGGTAGGGTTCTAGTGGGAAGCCATGACCAGGTAAGGCAGGTTGAAGGTGAGGCGGTAACTCATCGAAGAAGAAACTGCGAACTGGGCTGTTGGATAGGGTTCCAGTGGCTCAATGGCTCATGAGCTTGCTGGCCTTGTAACCAGAAGGTCCCGGCTTCGAACCCTGGCGGTGGATGCATGCCGCGAAGAGTCCCAGAATAAGACGAAACAGTTGTCCAGTACCTCCAGATTTTCCAAAAGTTCTCTAACTGATGTCACCTCATTATGAAATCCTCCAACCAATCTTAAAAATATGCCTTAGATCTTGTTGTGTCTAAAAGTGTGCGCCTGATAGTTCCACATGTAGGTTAGGATCAATTGTTGATGACATTACCATCCGTTTGTATTCAGCTGACATGTCACCAGGGGCGGAACATTTCGGTCCAGCCAGTCAACAGAAGAAACGAAAATGACTTAAATATAGCAAAGTGAATTCAATTAATCCTTAACAATTATTTTTTCATCCTTGTGAAATTCTCACTCACAAGGTTGATCAATAGATGATGAACAAAATATGAGGTAAAGTCCTTGCAGTCTGTATTTAATGCGTCTCACTGGCTTCAGCATTAGGCGATCGGCCACAGGTTTGACATCCGTCTCTACCTATTTCATCCACAGTGAATCTTTAATATCATCTGTGTCCTCATATATCAAATGTGGCTTATAGATTAGTTTATGAGAAATCTATTCTGTGTAACGCACTTCTCACTGCCTATGTTTTCTAGTAAAGAGTAATGGTAATAGAATCAAACCTGTCTTGTTTACTAATTTATAACTGATATTGATTCCCCTGGTGTTATTTATACTCAAAAGACTGATTTTACTCTTGAAATTGATATCTGTTTCACCCATTACATAACTAGAAGGGTAATCATCAGTCTGTAAACGTAATTACCTTACCTCTAGACACAGTCTACATTGATCTTCTCAAGTGTTGGTTTGCAGTGATTTCATTCATTTCAAGACTTACTCATTAAGGACTGACTTCAGTTACAGGATCAGTGAAAACCAGGGAGTACTGAACAGCTGTTTCATTCCTTTTTAGGACTGCCTAGCATTACACACTCATGACTCAATTAAGGATCAGACCTAGGACTTTCAAGGTAGAAAGTGAACTTGTTGAGTTTACCACTAAGCCGCTGTGATGGAAACCAACGGCCTACCAATTTGCGATTACTAACGGTAAGTATTTGCCCTCCCATTCAACTAAGAACGTTGAAGGTATCTACACGATTTGCACTGATATCTCCTGTTTCAAATCACTAGTAAAGCGATTGTAGCTGGTAGGCTCAGTATCTGAGTTAATAATAGGTCGGATGATAGAAAAGAATAGACAGATAGAGATATTTCGATTCTACGGGTGGGGGGGGGGCATGAGTACGCATGGTTGAAGAGTCCCAAACTAGGACGAGATGACAGTCCAGTACTCCCTGATTTTCAAGGGTTCTTTATCTAAACTTCAGACGCTGATCGTAGAATAACCTTAGCTTAACTCAATTCTAACTTGATAATTGTAAACATGTAAATATATTTTTTTCAATGTATTCTGTTATTACTGCTCAATGCCTTTTTTGTTTTCTTTCCTTTTAATAAATAAGTTATATAGAAGCTTTCCCATAATTCTTAAACATATGAAAATCTCCGATACAACTATGCCTACGAGTCCTATTGTTTACAATAACTTATCAAAAACAAAATGGTCTGAATTGACTTGCCAAAATCCTGTTGAGGAGCCAGTTGATGAGAACAATACGACGTCATCATCAAATGACTTAAGAAAGTTGAAGCTGCATAGCACGATTATAAAACGTTTGATTAAAAATCAAAGCGATAGTCTGCCAAGTCTTCAAAATTATGCAATGAATACAGCACAGATAGAGGTAAGCAGAAAGAAAGGCCTTTAATACCCAATGAGAAACAAGGTAATTGAGTGTTTACTTGACAGTCGTGAAGGGGGTAAGAAAACTAATTACGTAAGATCTAAAAAAATAGATCATTTATGAGTGATAATAGTCAGTTAATTGTTAAAATTAGAGGCGAACTAGTAGGAAATAGCTTGAGACCATAGAACAAGAAAAGACTGAGTTTATAGTTGTAATGACGAATCTCTGGCGCCTCCGCTATAGACAAAATTAGCCGAAATGTAACACCGTTTGTACCATTCTGCCTTACCTTGTTGGTAATTTTAAAAGACGACTTTGAGAGAATTGCATTACTTCAGTCCCGTAGGTGCTCAAGAAGCAAGTTATTAATTATCTTGCATTGTCCGCTGGGTGGCCATACCGGATAATGTTAGTATATATGTCTGGAAAGTGGGAAAGCTTTGTGCGGTTAGTATAACTATGCTCATAAGAGCGAATAAATTTATAAAAAACATGGTAAAGTGGCTGAAATCAGCAGTTTGTACTTCTCACATCGATTGATTATTTGATGGCAGTGCAAATTCGTTTTATGTTTAGAAACTATTTCTGCGTAATTCTATCAGTTGTCACCCTCCTATTACTCAGTAATAGACTATTTAACGTTTTTGATAAATATATGTATGATTGGTTTCAGGGTTTCCTCATGAACTGATATAGGTTGTAGAACCATTGGAAAAACCAACACACACAGTCTTAGTTCTGAACTCTTCAGCAGTACGCATCTACCAATAGAGTTGGAACCCAGGAACTTCGGGTTACAAGGCTAGCGAGCTGGTAAACCCATATAAGCCACTAGCACCCGATTTTATGGTCCATGAATTGTCCTTAACTAGGTTGACGAAACAGCAGTCGGGTACTCTCAGGTTTTCAAATGGTCCTCTAACCGATGTCACTTTGTGATGAAATCTTGGAATCAATCAAATCCTTGCAAACTAACGGCTGAATGAACGTGAATCTTCAACTGTTTGAAGACAGCGTTGTTAATAAGAAGAATTTTTAAAATTTTATCTTAGCTTTAGAAGTCTGTGCATAGGTGGCACGGCGCTTAGGACTCTCGGCGACCCTGCACATGGTCAGGGGTTCAATCCCTCGGCCTGCCAAATTCGGGCTACGGATATTTGTTCCGAAAATATAGTGTAAAATCAAGGTATAATCAAAAAAAATTTAAAAGAAATAAATAAAGTGTTTTTCAAATAAAAATTGTAATTAAATAAGGTGAAAGATCAGTAAAAATGTCAGATAGTGATGGACAGCTTTTATTACGACAGGGACAGTGTTTTTGTCAGGCCGATTAAATCAAAATTGATTCATTTCTCAAGGAACATATTCTCTGCTGTTTATCTCATAGTTGAGAGAGAGAGAGAGAGGGAGCTATTAAACTGTAAAAATTACAGAAAAGAGGATGCTACTTTCGAATTAATCACCGGATATCATGAAATGTAGCTGTTGATTTTTGAAGTATTTTTCTCATAACTGTTAAAAAAAGAAAAAGAAAAACCAAGAATTTATGCTAATATATTAGTATGGAGGATTTAATCATGAGCTGACATCAGTTAGAGAACCATTGGAAAACCTGGGAGTACTAGACAACTGTTTCACTAGTCCTAGTTTGGGACCCTTCATCAATACGCATCCACCAGTCGAAGATGGGGCAGTAACTCATCGAAGAAGGCATTGCGAAATGGTCACGCTATGTAGTGAATTGGCAGAAGTTAGAATTCAAGGAACATTGAATAGGCTCCTAGTGGCTCAATGGTCTGCGAGCTCGCCTTGTAACCAGAAGCTCCCGGGGTTCGAGTTCCCTGTGGTGGGTGCAAACTGATAATGAACCCCAAAATAGGAAGAAACAGCTCTTCTTCACTCCCAGGTTTTCCAGTGGTTCTGTAACTGATGTCAGCTCATGATAAAATCTTGCAGGCAATCAAACCAAATCCCTACAAAACCAATACTTGAAAGTATATTAGTAGTCGTAGTATTATCGTGTCACCTAGATTAGAGACGAAAACGACACTGTTAAGTTGATCTGTTGATGAACGAAATGCTCTTCTATTGAGTCATAAGTAAAAGACGTTAGTGGCGAACAAAAATTTTTATTTCCAACCATTCATTTTCATAAACTATTGTACAATCGGAATTATATTTAGCAAAGAATTCATAAGACAACCAATCAGATACTGCTAAAATTTGTCCTCGAAAATGTAACACGTAATGTAAGGTGTAGTCTAGAAGGGGTGACTAATTGAAAATTAGAAAATGGGGCAGAAGTTGGCATGATGTAATAAGTGTGAGAAAATGACTAATCAACGTAATTTTGTAAAGTGGACAAGAACCAGCGGAAAGAAGATAAAGAGATTTTATAAAATCTATGTGAAAATTCAATTTTATTAATAGATAGTGGTAGAATGATAATAAAATAAGGATAATGAGAACAATAATAGTAAACCTACATGATAAAAGTAAGCAAATTTATAGTGAGAAGGTTATTCTGGCCACATTATGGTGAGTGAATGTATGTGGTGTTCTGACTGCAGAGGTCCGATTTCAGATCCTGAATAGCTAACGTTTCAGGTATATACAAATGGGGTATTCGAAGTCCTTTCGTAAGATATTAAGGAAGTCTTTGTAGCACTGTGAAGCATTCATTCATGCTCGATGTTCAGAGTTAACAAGGTGTTCGACGATGGAGCTGATAATTTTCTTTTTTCACCTCTGACTAGTCAAGCTAGACAGTGTTCAAGGATACGCTTGTGGATTTGACTTAGCGTACGGCCGAAGTACTTTGCTCCACAACAACAAGTAAACCGATAAATACATATTGTGGTGATCAGAATTGGCATATTATCCTTGTGATTGTTCAACTAATAGAAATGAATTGTTGAAAAGAAAATTTTCTTCACTATTTATGTTTTTTTCTTATGATCTGTTGATGCCAAGTTAAAACAAACAGTTCCAGGAGCATTCCATATACATTAAACTAGTAGAACACAGGAATTCACCAGCACACAGACTCGACTTCACCCTGTTTTCTGCAGCTAAACTTCATATCTACCTCAAAAGATCTCCCCTTTACCAGACTCGGAGATATCTCGCTATTTGAGTTTCACTCTTTGGCTTACCAGGAGCTTTATGTCAATCAACGGTTTTCCTCAGTGCATATCCAAACAATCTACATTTTCCTCTTCATTGCTTTCCGGTGATTGGTTGGTTGCCAAAGTTGCTTGTTTCACATCCTTTCTGGATAGCTGACATCCGTTAAAGGTAGATATGTTGATGGAAGTCTGCAACAGTCTGTTGGGAATACTTTTCATGATATATGCACTCAGTTTTTGATCGTAACGGAAGTATTGACGTGATATTAACGTTTGAGATTAGGATCTTCTTCTTTGTATGTTGTGTCCAGTATATTTTGCCGATGATTTCATAGTTATGTTTTTCCGATCTTACTCTTTTACCATCCTCATCCTCTCTACCCGCAGTTGAAACGATGCTGTCTGTTTCACTATCAAGATGTTCACATCAATGTTTCATATTCAAATGAAAGAGGTAATTTGACTGCAATGAAATTGCCAAAATAATTTGTGCGTGATAGCGTATTCCAGGAGAAACAGTTAAAGTATCATGAAGTGCTAGACAGATTATTATAAGCGTAATTTGATCTAAAATGACGGGAAGTAAGTCATGTGCTGTCAAAAAATCTTGGTTAAGAGTAACAGTCAGTTGTTTTGTGCACGCAGACGGTGAAGACTCAATTTCACGGATAGCTATCACCTCAGTGTATTCTAGCAAGCGTCACTGACGATATCTATAGCTAATCTTGAAGTCTACTTTGATGTCAGTCATATGATTCATATGATTAAAATGTTTTGTTGCAGACAAAGTTGAAAGACTGCCACTTGTGTTTATCAAGGTTCTACAGTTCATTTATTTGTTTAGCGATTTGGATATGTGTTCTTCCACCCTCACATGCAGAGTGCGATTGCTGCTCCTCATCTATGTCTGACCACTCCATTCCTTTACGTTCCAAGTGGAACATAGGGCCACAAGCTAGAGCTTTGGGCTTTTGGCTGCAATGGCTTTATTTTCGCAGGGTAGGTTCGCTAACCTCACGCCCAACCTCGCCTCTTTAGCGGTGGTACTACACGCTTAGCTAGGTTTCAGAGTGCGTCTGCTGGGGGTCGAACCCCGGACCATATATGGCGTGGTTGACCAGCATTCTGCCGCTGAACCACCGTCACGATGTGTGACCACACATACATGTAGATTTGTATACAGTTTTGGATTTGATATAATCAACTGTGCAATGTTAAGGCTTGTAGTAGAGCATATTTTGGCATTTCTGATAATTATAATTCGGGCTCTATAGTAAGTTTTATGAATAACCTAATTCAGTTCCTATATCTAATATCTTACTACAGATTTACCATTTATAAGATAGTTTAATATAGACATGTTTCTTCGGGATGGAATAAATAGGCTGTAGTCTTTGAAACTCGCTGGTCTCTACACCAGTTTGAAATCTTTAGAGGATATCCACTTCCTATGTTTATCCGTTAATATTTTGCTGTCATCACCTACAGCATCAGCCATACAGATTCGTCAAATCCTGTTGATAATTTCCGTCTTCTAATAACACTTTTCAAATTTATTGAAAGGGTTAATTTTGTGAAATTTTTTAAGAAGAAATATGATTGAATATGTAGACTAAGCTTATCCTTATGTACACTCATGTATATATTTCTACATTTCAATTTGTAGATTATTCGTGAAAATAATAAAATTGAACGTATAATTTATCCAATCCCTGAAATGTGTCAATATTTAACAAATACTAAAAAGTGTCAGCTATTAAACAAAACTGTTATGGATGATGATCATACTAAATTGCCTTCATTGTTTGAATTGATTGAAGATATTTATGCAGAAATGCTATGTGCTAAACATATGCTTGGTAGGTTTAATTGTATAATACCATATTGGTGTGTTTTAATTGTATTTATTGTGACTTGATATAACCCCTACTTCCCAAGAATCGGTTGGCAGGGGGGTTTGATTAACTGTAGGACGGCAATTTCGTCCTAGTCTAGGACTCTTCAGGGATGTGCACCCACGGGAATTTGAACTTTTGATCTTCTCCTTACAAGGTGGGCTTTTAGACCATTCAACCAGCAAAAGTTACCCTGGTTAACTGGAGCTGGATTCATTAGCCGTTCGATCGGGTCTCAGTAAGTGAGTAATCTTTCGGATTTTAACACTTATTACTAAGGTGTAAAATTTAATAATAGTACTAGTGTATAAGTAAAACACGTTAGTATGTGATAGCAGACTTATTTATTGGAAAATTCATGTTCAGATACATTGGAATCTTCCTGCACACATTTCCTCTGTACTGTGCTTTTGTTTTCCTTTTATGTTTTATTGGTTGCTTGAAAACAGTCTTTGATTTCTCCCCTTTGTCCTTTCTTCTGTCGCTCGGCTATTTAGTTTTCTTGCAAAAGCAGTCACATTAAAAAGTAATATACTACTTGTAAAATCTTGTCAGTGGCATACATCACACTTGTTCATGAATTCCAACTTATTTATTTCTCTGTTTAAGCAGTAACTCATTGAAGAGGATATTGCGAAGTGGTCGCGCTATTTCATAAATTCATGGGCTGTTGGATTGGGTCTCAGTGGCTTAATTCTCTCTACGAGTTCGATTTATATGCAGAAGGTCCTAGGTTCGGACCCTGGCGGTTGATGCGTGCGGATGAAGAGTCCCAAACTATGAAGAAAACGCTGTTCATTTATCCCGGCTGGTTTTCCAATGGTTGTCTGACTGATATAAGCTCGTGATGAAATCTGTCAAACAATCAAACAAAATTCTCTACAAATCCAATACTTAAAAATAAAATAGCATGACCGTGTCTGAAAAAGGGAAGAAATACGTTTTTAAAGATAATAAAAATGTATATATAGTGCACTCATATTGAAGAGCTTTACAATATGTCTTTATTTCATCAATAAAACAAATAAGTCCGTAGTGATTTTAACTTTCAGCCATGACATTTAACGCGTTTTGAGCTACTGAGTAGCATGATCTTTCTCAGTTTTACCTACATTCTGACGGTACAACAACACGACACACTCCTACTTCTAGCAGAGGCTTGTCATTAGCTTGGCTACCATTCCAATTTTTGTAACTAGATCTAGGATTAGTATATATGTACATATATAGCATTTTTAATTAGTACTTGTTTAATACTGTTTCCTTTCCTTTGTAGTTCATCCATGGATTCATTGGTTTTCATTTCGTTCTCAATGGATATCAGATGCTAGTTTCTACCAGACATTGTGTTTGAACTTTTTATTGATTGCATTCTATCCTTTTCAAGGGGAATCATCCTTATGTAAGTTTAGCTGTATTTGTATATTAATATTTGTGAAAGAAAAGTATATATATATATATATATTATCGTAAATCCGGTATCTGATGGTATTTATTGTTTTATCTGCGTGTGTTCCACGTGGAATATAAAGCTTCAACAGCAAATCTTTATTTCACCCTGTCTACTACAGTCCTCTTTACTTGGTCTCTCGATTGTGTATAGGCTGTCTTTTCTCCCTCAAACGATCTTTCGCATGTCAGCCTTGGAGCCAACTCCAACTCCTTGCTTCCCACTCGGGTTCCATTCACGCGCTGGCTGTGTGTGTGATTTCACTGAACGGACTCATGTCCTTCCTGAGATATGAACCCGAATTACTCAATGCTGCAGTTAGAGACGTTACCACTGAGCACTAGTTACCAGTGTCCAATCAAAGTGTCCACTACAGTCCTACAGGAGGTAAATCGTGAGCCTGAATAGCTCAATGGTAACGTCTCTGATTGCAGCACTGGGTGACACGGGTTCGAATCTCAGAAGGGACATGAGTTCCTTCAAGGCCTCAGATACACCTTTGCTGACTGGTGAGTGTCAACTAACACAAAAGTTAGGTCAAGCAAGGCTTCCTGTGGCCGATTGCCTCCAACCATCTAATATCATCAATCTTGAATTCTATCAGTTTGTTGAATTCTCGATGGTTCGTGTGTGTATGTGTACGGATGATGATGAGTCTCAAATAAGAACAAGACAGTTGTCTAGTACACCCTGGTTTTCAATCGTTGTCCAACTGATACCTATTGGAACCCTGGAAACTAATACTTAAAAAAACATTACTTTCCTATTTAGTCAATTTAATTATGCTTATCATATCCTTAATCCCAAAAAGCTGTTCACACTTTCTACTTTCATTCTATTGTTTGTTACATTCACTTCTATGTATATTGTTATCACATTTATTTTGGATAATTTGAAACGGTAAACTGTTTGAAAATCACGTTATCTCTATGGTTAATGTGAATATCGTCAACAACAAATAGGATGTGACTTTAGTGATTAGCACTAATACACATGACCTTTTGTTATAAGATAATTATGCAGTGTACAATTTTGTTAAACATTTTAGTGGACAGAAACATTTCTACACCACACATGTTTAGAACACTTAACAAAGAAAGGTTCAATTATTTTGTCATTCATAAAGGGAATCAAATGGGATAAAGCGTGACTTGTATGTTTGCAGAGCTATTATCATTGACAAATTTTCCGGAAGTTGTACATATCTATGTGTATTTGTGTTTTTGTAGATTGTTACTTTCAATAGTGAAGTCAATTAAAATTAATGTTCACAACAAATCCGAATTGTGCTTGTTAATTGTTATTGCCAACTAATAACACTGCCTTATGCACTTTTTGGTTTTCCAAATCCAGGAACTTAATCTGATCTGAGATTAGGCCCTATTTAATGTTGCTGGGGTGTGTAATTAAGCTGATGAACAGTTCTAGGTCAGGATAATAATTACTTTTGCCAAGTTCTTTTTTGTCCATACTACTTATTTGATGATAATATATTCTCTTCCGATTTACGTTAATCTTTTACAAGACCTCAAAATAGTGATATCGGAATAATTTCTTAAGTATTAGCCTCCCATGATAAATAATAAGGAGAGACTGCAGTATAAAGTTGCCTGGGGATATGGCAATGAGTTGTGGTTAATGAGGCTCATCAGGATGGGTGTGAAGTCAGAAAGTCAAAGGTGACATGAGGTTCGGGTTGCGCTTTATATTACCAATTGACAGAAGTTAGAATTCATTGGATATTGATTTCCGGTTCAAGTGACTGAATGATTTAGTAACCTGCAGGTATTGGGTTTGATCCCTAACTGCGCCGTTCATGAGTATCGATGATTAGTCCCAAACGAGAACGAAACACCTGTCCAGTACTCTCTGGTCCCGATGGTCCTCTAACTGGCAGCAATCTATACTCAAAACCTGAAACAATAAGTGGTAGTAAATGTTAATGATGCATTTAATTCGTTGCTTTTGTGAAGGCAGTTATGTTGACCATTGCTCTAGGAACTTTGTTTTTCGTGCTCTGAAGCAATTACTACTTTGGCTAAATAAAAGTGCTGCAAAAACTATGAACAGTTCTATATTCAACTGCCTGATCAAAACAAGCCATAAAGCTGATATTGAAGAGTCTGTTTCTATTATCTATGAGGTACCAAAAGCTAAAAAGCTTTCAATTTCCAAATGTCCCAAACAGTAAAGGCTATTACATTCCAATTAAAACAACCGGAACTCTGCTTGGCAAAGAAACAGTTGTTATCCTGACCTACTGTGAGACCCATATTAATGCATGCTTTTACATACAGATGTGAATACAGAGGTAAGACAAGGCTGCCTGTTATCACATATGATATTCGTAATTGTAGTGGACTGGATTACGCCATAGACTGTGTGCTGTGAAAGAGAAGGCAAGAATACTCTGGACCATCAATGAGAAGACTTTAGAAGATCTAGATTGGGCAGATGATATATGTCTAATGTCAAACAAACTCGAGGACTTACATACGAAGACCAACGAATTGGTAGAAGGAGCAGTCAGAGAAGACAGGACTCTAGGTGAACATAGGAAAGATGATCAACGAACCGCAACAGCAACAAAAACCAGCAGCAGTTACCAACAACGGGTAAGGTTTGATAGAGGTTACTTCCTCCCCTTATCGGAACAGATGAATGTATCAAAGCCAGGTAGAATCGAAAAGGCAAGATGCGCCTTCACTAACCTGAAACCAGTTTGAAAATCTTCTACGCTTCGCAGCGTAAACAGCAAGGTTTGGATTTTCAACACAAATGGGAAGTCATTCAGTTCTTCTTTATTGGCCAGAAACTTGCACTGCATGTCACGAAAATAAATTCTAGCAGATCGCAAACTGTTATCAACTCCTAATCTCATTGACTTCATACTGAAGATCAAAAGGCCGGTTGTGCAGAAAGAATTAGCTACAAGAGACTTTAGCCGGCAACAAACCAACCAAGGTCACACTGCTCAACAAATATGTAGGAGAAAATAGAGATGGATTGAGTGTACTCTGGTAAGACTGTCGAATGACTTCGCGCACAATGCAGGACATCGCTCGAGTATGATCCGAATGGGAAGCGACGAGGGGGTTGTCGAAGCGAGGGAGTAGATCGTGTGGCGAGGAGGAAACTAGATATTACGGGCAATTATGGGCCCAGGCAGCTGAAGAGGACCGCAGAAAATAGGACAAAATTGAGATGTGTTCTTGAAATCCTATGTTTTTATTTTGAACCCATGGGAACTATAACAAAAGAATCAATGATGATAATCACTTCAGATGATTCTGAACAGTAATCTGTTGATGTTAGTGGTTTGATGTTCTTTGAAACATTAATGCTGTTAATAAATATAATCCTTTAATGATTATGAACATATATACTTGTAGAATCTGATGAGGTTATTGAAGAAAAAACACTTTTATTTACCTATCTTAGTCTTTCGACATTTCTATTGAGTATCTTTAATTGATATACTTAATTTTTTGGTATATATGTATTTGATTTTCAGCCTATAGCTTGAATGAATTTGAAACTGAGATCGGTATAATACCATTTGCCTTATTCGCTGTCTTGTTATGCCTTATTTGTTCAAATCAATTATCAGTGCAAATTTATGTTGGCTTAGAAACGCTTTACTTATTATTTGTCTGCGGTAGTGAAAATATTATACATGTGTTGGGTTTAACTAATGTAAGTTTGAAAATGTGTCCACTGAAAAATTTCTTGTGATGTTTTTTTATGTTTTCGGTCTATCCCAGTTTGCTTTTTGATTGTGATCAGTTTTCAAGAATGTTAGTGTAGTATTTCAAAATATGAGTTAATCAACAAATAACTATGTTGCTAAAAAGAAGCTTGATTTGCGCTGGAACACTTGTTTGCTTGGCATCTGTGGTTCAATGATAGAATGCTCATCAACCACACACTTAGTCCGGCTTCGACTCCCATCCAACGCACTCCTACACCTTGTATAACTGGTAGTAAGATGGATGGAGAAGGAAGGTTAGCGTTAGGCTTGCAACGGCTGAAACTTTAGAGGCCTAGCTTGAAGGTCTGTGGTCCACTTGGAACAAATAGGAATGCCTATTTGGTCTTATGATGTATCCATAATAAGATATTACTATTGTTTCCTTAGGTTACTAATTGAATGCTGACTTCAAACATCCCACCTCCATCCCATCCTATTCTCTACAACCCTTTCTACTTGATCCCAAGATTATCACTAAGATTTCCTCTCCCTATCACATTATCTCTACGGACAGATGCCAAACTCGTCGCCTTTCGGGTTATGCTGGGGAGCCAGGGGCGTGATATCAATCGACAGCCTCCTCGTTTCATATCCAATCAAGCTTCGTTGCCTTCTGCATATGTTTTGTACAATGGGTTGTTGATTGGTTCATTGCCACTTAGAGCTCCTTGTTGTTTATACTTTTCAGCCAATCATCTGATCTTCCATATGGAATTGAAGTAGCTGTCGATGAAAGTGTGCAGCATTATTATTTTGATTGCTCCCTTTGGTTCCAAAGGGAATACAGGTCTTCAAAATCACATATCCACTTTGTTATATATTTTCCACTGCTATCTTCAACTGGGTCCATGATTGACCATAATTTATCATCTCCTCCTAAAACTATATCCTCCATGTCAACCTCAAACGCTGAGCTCATTGTTGACCATTTAGGTTCCACTCAAACGATGTCAGGCACTGCTCTCGATGTCATTCTACTATCTTCTCAGTGTGCGCCCAATCCGTCTTCATTTTCTCCTACATATTTGTTCAGCAATCGGCTTTTAGTTGGTTTGTGGCCAGCTGGCCGGCTGGTTGGCCATTTGACCTTCAATATGGAGCTGCCAGCGAGCGGGCAGCTATTGATTGATAAAAGTCTGTGTCCGTTGGAAATCTTTTTCGTGATGCACACGCAGTGCAAGTTTTTGACCCGTATAGAACAAGTGACTGATTGACTTCACATCAGTGTTGAATAGAATCCGAATCTTGTTGTTTGTGCTGCTGAGTGCAGAAGATTTCCAAACTGGTTTCAGGCTGTCGAATGCGTATCTTACCTTCCTTCTACAGCAGTCTGTCAGAAATACTTACACTACCAAGTTGATAAGTCGGCCGTATGACTTGAAGAAGAGAAAAGTTTGAAGGTAAATGATTCTGGTCCGGAAAATCAATTTAGTAGCTCTCAGAACTTCAAGGCACAGAAAAATACAAGTATTATATACATATGCGAATTTTGTATGCAAGATTTATAGGGATCTTATTGGTTTTCGAGTAGACGCCATCCTGATCGACGAAATACACAACCTATTATTGTGATAATTACTCATTGATGACATTTGATAGCGATTATTATTTTCTCTAATTCTTAGAGGAACATAGGGCTTCAGCCAAACGTCTCCATGGCGTTTGGTTCTCTGCTAGAGTTTTCATCTGGCTCCAAGTCTGCCCACACGCTTTCATCTCCACTTCACATCACCTCCTCCAAGTCACCCTTGGACGACCGCTTTCCTTTTGGGTTCCACTCGAGCAATGGCTTGTCTAGGGATGTCAATCACTTGATGGTTTCCTCAGAGTATGGCCATTCCATCTCCATTTCCTCCTGCTTATTTTTTGCACAATCTGTTCCTGATGGGTTGGTTCGCTCCTAAAGATCCCTCTCTGTTGCTGATCTTTTCTGGCCATCTGATCATGGGTATTGAGCGAAGACAGCTAGCTGTTGATGAATGTCTGTAGTTTGTTTGAGGTGCTCTTCATGACACGTCAAGTCTCTGATCCGTATAGCGAGTAGCACTGACTTCACATTGGAGTTGAAAATCCGGATCTTATTTTTCATGCTGATAGCGATAGCGTTATTTTATAAACTACCATTGATGAGTAGGTACTGCTGGTAACTCTCATTTAATGATAAGGCAAATGTGTGAAGTGGCTTATTTTTCATTGGAGTTTTAACTCATAGTGTTATGTGTATATGTATAACGTATGTAACAGTATTGCACTTTGTTTCTCTTTCCAGTTGATTTTTAGACTAGCCAACTTGATTATTATATACAGACAACACAGTCTTATAACTCAATATAAGAAACATCTGTTCATCAGTGAAATGAAAGCGATTGGCGAAACAGGAGACACATTCATGCATCATTCTCCATCATCGTCATCCTCATCACCATTCTCCTCATTATTTAAAATAGACAATGTGAAAAAATTATTCCCTCTTCAGAGTATAAAGAAATTATTCACCTCGACATGGAGAAAATACAGTTGTTTGTCAATACGACAGCTATTCAAATGTTTTCCGACTTTATTCACCTATGCAAAACAACAAAATATGAATGAGTTAAATTATAAATTAATTCATAATTTGTTACTTATCACATTCGCTATATTAGGAGTTTTCTTGCATCCTCTATTCCATAGTCTAGTGGTAAGTTTTAAACTGTTAAATATCGACATAAATTTCTAGCCATTTGTTTAGGCAGATTATTTGTTTTGGTTACACGATTTCATCATGAGCTGATATTGGTTAGAGAACCATTGGAAAACCAGCTGGAGGTAGTGGACAGCTGTTTCGTCAACCTAGTTTGGGACTCTTCAGCAGTACGCACCCACCACCGGGGTTCGAACCCAGGACCTCCTGGTTACAAGGCTAGCAAGCTCGTAGACCATTAAGCCACTGGGACCTGATTCAGTGGCCAGCCTATGAATTCTAACTGCTGCCAATTCACGATATAGCGCAACCGCTAGCCAGCGCTTCGGCGAGTATTTGTTTTCACACCCGACCTGATGCACCTTACTGGTCCTGACTTCCCACTGGAACCCCAGGTAACTACCTAACTACCTAAACAATGTCAGCTAATGATGAAATCCTGTAACCAATCGACCAAATCCCTACAAACCGATACTTGTTTATTACTTTTGTTTTTTTATTTATTATTTAACTACTTCTGTGGAGCCAGTTAGTTACAGTTACAGTTAGGCATGTTTCTCGTCGGATTTTCGAGCATCATCCTGCGTGGTCAAGTAAAGGACGAACAAAATCCATTCATAGAGCTATTGTATTTCATCTTACAGATACAGTACGCATGATTGATGTCAATAAGGCGGCTTTCAAAGTCATCTACAGTAGCATATCAACTAATTTTAACTTTACTTTAAGATTTCGTTATTACATATTGATTGCTGAGACCGTTGCGATCCACATTAAGTAGATGTTGGTTCAGATACTATCCTTAACTTGGCTGTCAGTCAAGGTTTTAATGATCCTCAATTTTTTGTAGGAATCTCCCTAATTCTATTTGATATTCTATTTGCTATTACATTTTTATGTTTATTATTATAATCTTAAGTGTCTTTCTTGAACTGTAATTCCGTTGATCTTACTTAAAAATCAATAGTATTTAAGTATATCAATATTGCTAATGAGGATTATTCTAGGATATCCTATGTATACAAACATATATATATATATATATAATAATAAAGTTGTACAGCCAGAAGAGGAAATTATCGAAAAAAGATATTCTTTGCTCAATGTTTTTGTTTTTTCCCATTAACTGATTGAATCAAATGTTGAGCCTCTGTTGACATAACGGTATCAAATAAATGCTAGCGGGCTGTCATAGAGCCAGCTGGAGAAAACTCCAGAGAAAAGCGTTGAAATGGAGCCGTGCTGATGAAACCGTATGTTCCACTTGAAACTTAAGGGAATAATAAGGATAAACTGAAATATTTTCATCACCATTATACGAAAGGAGCTTTATGACAATTAATAATAATAATAATGATTTACTTTATTCCAAAAACAGTACTTGTGATACAGAATGGAATTTTCAGCATTAATCACAATATTTCATCTTATTTCCCCAAATTATAAATAAAATTAATCACACAGAAAATTTTCCACATTTACAATAGAGGTAGTGTCAAAAACATGCAGCATATAAAATGGAAATAGCAATAATAATGATAACAGCTAGGGTAATAATAATAAGAATACAAGTGAAAATTGCCGTGGGCTTGTTTCACACGGTATTGTCGATGCCGTTTAGAGATCCTAGCATGTTTAAAACTATTGAATATAATGTTCTCTCTACACGATATGGTGGGGGGAATAACAAAGATTACAGCAGTCATAGAGATAAGCTGGTATTTACAGTTATGCGAGAGAGCAAAACAAAGAAGCAACAGGACCATAAATATAATAGAAGTAATGAAAGTAAAACTTGAAGGTATATAAGGATGGATGGAGGAAATTTTTTATTTACTGGATGAAAAAGGTTAGTTAATTCTTGTCTGACACTATTTTCATCACATAAAATACGTGACAAGTATGGTATCATAGAATTCTTATACTTAGACGTGCGAGCATACAGTTTTCTGAAGTTACTTCTTGTTCTACCTGAGGAGATGCAAGGTGAAAGCTGAGGGTAAAGTGGATGCTCCAAGTCAGACACAATCCCTCTAGCAAATTTATTGCATGAAGTCAAGTGCCTATCCTATGTGGTCCACTGGGACACCACTCACCCTACTGACAGTCTTCAGTATTCTACGAGTTGTGACATAGTCCTTTTAAAAGGCAGAACCACCGCTGTGCGTCGGTGACACATCGGTTAGGACTGTCGTCGACCATGCACATGGTCCGGGGTTCGACCCCTGCCGACGCACTTCTGATATCTATGGTCGGCCTGCAAAATTTGGGCTATCGATATCCATGCTGAAAATTCCACATTTGTACCAAAAATACGGTGTGGAATCAAGATGTAATCAAAAATACTAAAATTAGTGTCATTCTATAATTGAACACGAATAGGTTCCATTGCTTTGATGACATTCAAAGAACTGGTTTTTTAGTATTAATGTGGTAATTATATGAACTACACTTGAATGTAATGGTGTCTGATAAGTAAAGGTATTGTTTACACAAGAAAACATAGTTGTTGTGAGTACAATAAAGTAATGGCCGGTGGTTTGTTGATAATGGAATAAATTTTGAACGTGAACTTTCGCAGAAAAAGATTACAATACTTCAAATTCCTTTACTATATAAAAGTATACAGGAACTATTTTTTTCACACAAGTTCCTAATTGTCTCCAGTCCCCTGCAGCCAGGTACACCGATCTCTTCCACGTGACTGAAATCAACAGTCAAAGAATTCATGCATTCATATCATGTTCAGGTTTAAACATCCATCAAGTCTTTTCTTCCAAACAAATCCTCCGCTAGCTAACATTTCTCGATAAGAAAAGCCAATCTACATTCAGCTTTGTTATGAAGGTGAAAACATTGCAGCAATGATCAACAGAAGGCGGAGTACATCATTAGCCACAGCCTATGCTGCAGCTAAGCTCGTCCCCGTCTATCGAACAACTTGTTATTTGGTGCAATCAAAAATCAATAGGTATCCTTCTCATGTTAACTTCAACTGTATATACAAATTTACATGTATCTGTGGAAGCAGTTACATTGGAAGGACAGGAAGAAGGGCATATCTGCGATTTTCCATACATGTACCAAAACGCTTATTTCTAAAGGGAACAAACGCTTTAAACAGTGCCATCGCCAGGCATCTGCTTGACACGGGTCATGAGCTGGGTGTCGAAAAGTCGTTCAAAATTGTCAATAGGCAAAAAAGCTCAATTCTCCTCAAGTTTACTGAAGCCGTTTCCATCAAGCGCCTGAAACTTGATTTGTGCGTCCAGAAAGAAGCGGTTATCAGTCTTCCCGTGCCCTGGTAACTGGACATTTTCACCTCTCTTTCATCTGAAACATATTGTTTTGTAGATTTATTTAATAATGCTTTGGCCTGTAAGCAGTTGACAGGCAGGCAACGAAATAAATACTGATGGTACCAATTTATTCTGCTAAAATTTTAGTTCTTGCTTTGTTCGATGAAAAGCTTTAGTTTGACTTAGGTAACACATGTTTTAGACACAGTCGGTGTGTCTTCAAAATTTCTTCAGTGAATTCTCCTTGAGCTTAACTTTAATTTTACTAACCTGATTACACCAGCCTAAAAACACTAGAGAGATCGGTTACAAACACCTAGGGTAATATTTATTGATCTTTCTGCACAAAAATGCTGAAATTAGTCTACATCGTTTTCTTCCTATATATGGATAATTGAGGATATTTCGTTTTGTTTTGTTTTTTCTTCTTTTTCAACCTACATCTCAGTTACTCGATGTGATTACACGTGAAGAGACTTTGTTGAATGTTGTTCGTTCAGTGACAAAAAATGGTCGATCAATCTTTTTGACAGGAATTTTAGCCCTAATTATTATCTACTTATATTCTATCGTTGGGCATGTTTACTTCCGAAATGATTTTGCCATAGAAGTCGAAGATAATAAAGGTTTGTTAACATTTATCACATTTTTTTTATTCATTTATGTTCCCAGTGGAACATAGGGAAGCTTCGAGCTAGAGGCTTCAACTTCCAGTAGTAGCGGTATTTATTTTTACAGTGTGAGGTTGCTAGCTTCAGACTCAACCTTCCCCTTCACTCGGCTTACTATCAGCAAAGTGGGGTAAAGGAGTGCATCGGTCGAGGATCGAACCTGGGACACATGAGGCGTGGCTATTCAGTACTCTCCCGCTGTGCCACTGACGTCACCCAGCTTGTCTCTATACAGTAATATAATGAAGACTAGGATTTTCTGTCATCAGAATCACTGAGTTGGCTTGTAGTTAGAAGGGCCTACAAATTCATAGCTAATCGACTACAACTTAAATTAGCCTTATATTGAGCACTTCTCAATCCATTCTGGAGGACTTTACCATTGACTTCACCACTGACCAGTGGTATCACCTGACAAATGAACTACCCTTACTTATATACATATACTTACTTATATACATATATAAGATATATATATATATATGCATATATATTCGATTATTGGTTTGGGTAGATTGTACTGATTTTAGGTTTCATAATAAACTAACTTCAGCTGGAAACCACTGAAAACCAGGGAATTATGCAAACTTGTCTTATCCTTGTTTGACATTTTTTAGCAGCCTGCACCCATCATGCTAATGTGAATCGAATTTATAGTTTTCAAATAACAGGGGAAACTCTTTAACCATTCAACTACTTGGATAGAATTCAATGGACTATCAGTTCTAACTTCTACCATTTCGCGATGAATATGACAATTTTGATGTGGTTGTGTTCCAGGGCCGGATAGTTAATTTGCGAAGGTTTCATCGCCCTACTAGGTGACATCTTCAGTGCATACTTCAATTTGAAGTGAAGTGAACTTTTAGATTTCTCCACGAGCTTATTAATCATCTCTCCTGGTGACCTTGGACGTAATTAGTTATTCTTGGGTGTTATCACACCTTCTAGGTTACTGATTGTTTCTTTGACTCTTAGTTTGACCCATTGTGTGTGAGGTTTCCTTCTTCTCAGTTGATAAATTTTGTCTATCTCGATGTGTCTGTTGATTGATGATTCACTGGATTCTCTAGCATTCTTAGTGTTTCCTCTGTCTAATATTTGAGCGTTGGTTGTCTCGGTCGAATTGATGTCCGTGGTTGTCTGTATGTAGTGGTATGAGGGAATGGATATCATGTCTTTTGACGGCTGGCTTATGATCGTGGATACAAAGACGAAGGGGACGTCCATTTTGGCCAACTGTGAAAAACAATACATTGGTCAAAGTGGACGTCGCTTTCGTCTCCGTATCCACGATCATAAGCTAGCCATCAAAAGACATGATATCAGAATCTTGGCATTTCAGTGAATCATCAATCAATAGACATATCGAGATAGACAAAATTTATCAACCAATAAGAAAGAAACTTCACAAACAAAGGGTCAGAGTTCAAGTCAAAGAAACAATCACTTCCAATTCAAGTAGCCTAGAGAGTGTGAAAACACACAAAAACAACCGATCACGCCCAAGGTCACTAGGAGAGATGAATAATAAACGCGTGGAGAAATCTAAAAGTTCACTTCAACAAATTGAAGTATGCACTGAAGATGTTGCTCAGTAGGGCGATGAAAGCTTCGCACAGAGAACCCAACCACATCAAAAGCAGCCACCTGAGCTACGAATCTTCTGTATATGACAATTTCTGGTATCTTTATCTTGTATTCGGTCATTAATGAGGACTAGGGTAATTTCCAAGTGTTAATTTGTATGAATTCTATAGGTCACAAGTTTTGTCAGGACTAATATCAATTGGAAAATCACCAAACGTCAAGAAGTACTGTGTACACAACATCTGAAAATTAACCTGATGCTCACTAGCGACAAAGCAAACGAATAACAATCAGCATACATGGTAGAAATCTGAAAGAAGCAACCTTCTTCACTACCTACTACCCACCCGGGAAGCATCGTTCCAACTACACTTGGATGGAACTGATGAGGACATCAAAGCGAGGATCAGGAGAGCGAGGTGAGCCTCAATTACTCTCAATCTGTTTGGAGATAGATCAACAGCACTCAGTATGAAAATTAAGATCCAGATTTTCAATTCCACTGTGAAACCAGTGCTACTTTACGGATTAGGGACTTGATGACGCTTCATGAAGGACACTTTGAACAAACTACAGAAATTCATCAACAGCTGTCTTCGCTCAATACTACTCAGAATCAGATTGCCGGTCAGAAACGTTCAGCAATGGGGATCTATGGGAATGGGCGAACCAACCCATTAGGAACCGACTGTGCAACAAATATGGAGAAATAAATGGAGGTGGACTAGCCATACTCTGAGAAAACCATCAATTAAGTGACATCACACGCCAGTTCATAGCTCGAGTGAGTTGGTCGGGGAGTTGGTCGTCAGTGCGAAAATTGTTAGCATGGAGGGGGTGATGAGAAGAGGAGATGAAAGCATGTGAGCCGACATGAAACCAGGTGAAAACGTTGGCTGGAAACCGAACTCAATGGAGACATGCATCTGAAGCCCTCTAGGAACTAAAACTAATCAATTATATAAAAATCACTAGCGATGGCCTACAGGATTAATTTTTACCTAGAGTTCTAGTCAAAAGTTGTAACCAGTGGAGTCTACGAGGTAGGGTGTGTGGATAAATTCTCACCTATGGTCGTGAACATGGTGGTTCTCTGATTTACATTAGCTCGAAATCAAGCTGTGTGAATACAATAGTTAAAGAGTCAAATGATGAACATTGCGAAAGAGAGCGTGCAGCGAGGAAACAGACATAAAATGGACGCTAAAGAAAAACTTGGAGGATATGGACTCGCCGATGTTATACGTCTGATCTCCCACAAACTAGAAGATACGCAAGTGAAAAGCAACAAGTTCGCGACAGAAGAAGCATCAAAAATAGGACTTCAGGTGAACACTGAGAAAACAGATATGGTGATGAAGATTCTGGACAACACCAACAGCAACAACAACAGACAACAATCAGCTAGCATAAATAGGGGGAACTGAAAGAAACAACCTCCTTTACCTACCGACCTGAGAAGCATCGTTTCAACTACAAGCGGAACTGACGAGGATATCAAAGCAGCGAGGATCGGAAAAGCAAGACAAGCTTTCATTACCCTTAAGTTTGGGTGTAGGTCAACAGCACTCAGCATGACACTGAAAATAAGATTCGGATTGTCAACTCCACTGTAAATTCAGTGCTACTATACGCGTGTATCAGAGACTTGTCGCGTCATGAAGAGCATCTCAAACAAACTACATACCTTCATTAACAACTATCTTTCTCAATACTACTCAAGATGAGATGGCCAGCAAAAAAAGATCAGAAACAGGGAGGGATCTCTAGGATCAAACCAACGCAGCATGAACCGATTGTGCAACAAATAGGCAGGAAGAAATAGAGGTGGATTGGCCATACTCTGAAGAAACAAACCATCAAGTGAGTGACATCACTAGACAAGCCATTGCTCGAGTGGAACCCAAAAGGGAAGCGGTCGTCCAAGGGTGACTTGGAGTAGGTCATGTGAAGAGGAGATGAAAGCATGTGGGTCGACATGGAGTCAGGTGAAAACTCTGGCAGAGAACTGAACGTAATGGAGATACGCGGCTGAAGCCCTATGTTCCTCTAGGAATTAAAGGAAATAATAATAGTGTCGGTAGGAATGATCTGATACATAGATGTATGTATGCATTTGCTATCCACGTGACTACAGTTATTATCTCATTTGTTATAAAGTGAGCGGAATTAATCATTCTTTCTACAATTATAAAATTATTGCCTATATATAATTATCCAATGCAGATTGACTTCAGAGGTATAATTTACCTAATGGCATTTCAGAGAATGAGTAAGTAAACAAACAGAGGTGAATAGATAAATAAAAAAGTAAATAAATAAACAAGTGATTTATTACAAGTTGATAAATAAAGTGTATATTGCTTGTGTTTGTTTTCTTTTGACAAAATTCCTTTTCCTGTTTTTGTTTTAATCTCAAAAATAAAACGAAAAAAATCATGTGAGAAATAGTTTTATTGGATGGTGAATATTTTCTCTGAATAAATAATTTTTTCACCTCGAGAAACATGTTTTTTCGAAATAATAATAATAATAATGATAGAGAAGATTTGCAGTTCAGGTGGATGATTTTCAATTAGTTGTGTTCTTCTCTGAGGAGATGGTTGACAATTTAACTGCGAAGCTTTTGTCATCCCCCTTCCCTTCAAGACAACATCTACCCTTTCAGCGCAGGTTTTGTTAGAGAATAAACACATTTGAATTCTCCAGGCTGTTGGAAATATTCTTTGTGACCCGCTCGCCAAGTTTCTGATCCGTATAGGAGAATTGACTGACTTGACGTTGTTTGTATTGAAAATCTGACCGAATTTTGTTGTTGATTCTGGTTGAGTGACGAAGATTTCCAGATTGGTTTGTTTCAGGTTGATGAATGTGTTCCTCGCTCGCCTTCTCGATTTTGACATTCTCGTCCGTTTCGACTGGCTGTAGTTGGGACAATGCTCCCTAGATAAGTGAGTGCACTGATTTCTTTTAAATCCCTCCCATTGATGGTGATTGGCGCTGGATGTTGCTGCTGCTGTTGTTCTGGTTTGTTGGTTATTTTCAAACCTCCGTCTTGTCTATGTTCACCTGGAGTCCTGTCTTCACTGGCTGCCTGTTCGACCAGTTTGTCGGTTGGTTTTCGCTTGTAATTCTTCGATTTTGTGTGACATCAAACACAAATAATCCACGCGCGAAATCCAGGTCTTCTAGGTTCTTCACGTCGGTCCAGGATATCCGTCCCTGTCTTCTCGTTTCCCACTGTCTGACGCATAATCCAGTCCACCACAATTAGGAATATCATTGGTGATAATAAGCACCCTTGTCTGACTCGTGTGTTTACTCCAAACGCCTCGTTGAGTTTTCCGTTGTGGATCATTTGGCAGGTGCCGTTGTCGTACAGCTGTTGAATAAGGTTGATGAGTATTTGGGGCACTCGAGTAGGCTGCATCCTTACTGTGTGATATTTGAATTAAACGTATCTTATTTGAAATTACATTCTACCACAGTGCCCAACTTCTAGGCTTACGTTTATGAATGTACATATATTTATGTTTTCAATAACTCATAATCACTTAAAAGAATATATTTAATTTCAAGGCATTCTAACTGGAAAAAATTCTTATAGAACAATTTTCGCTTTATTTCGCATTCCTTATGCTCTAAATCAAACAACTACAAATGAAGAAGAAGAAAACGGTGAGAAAATGGAACGACGTTGTGATACCCTAAAGATGTGTATGTTAACAACTCTTCGTGAAGGTTTGCTCAATGGAGGAGGGATTGGTGAAGCATTACGACGTCCAAGTAGTGAAGTGAGTGAATCTTTACTAACAGTTATATCTCCTTCAGATTCATAAGTTTTTTCTATGTGGTATCAGTGTTTTCGGTGAATGGTTATTTGATTTTATGCCAGTGAATGATATCACTGCTTGAAATGTACTTATATTAGGTTGGCGAATTTCGTCTGTCACATAAAAGTTACCTAGACACTGAATGATTACTTACTCTGTTGGAGGTCGGTTTCATCACTAGAATATACATACCGTGATGTTTTTTATTCATTATGTTCGGAGTGGAGTATAGGGTTCTGAAGTTTCAGTAGTGTTGCTTGTATTCTAACATGATTTGTTCCCACTAACCCTACTGCTAGCTAACTAGCTAGGTGACACTTACATGTAAGCTTAGAAATTGAATTTGTAAATGTATTAGGTACATACTACTGGCTGATTGGTAAGAACAGTAGGGTACCACCCATCACATCAATCAGAAGTGGGTGCTAACTTCATCAAGATCAATGGGATCTAAACACCAGATAGCTGTCTCGCTTCCGAGAGGCGAATTCATCAGACTTCTTGTACCCAGTTGATCTCAGACCAGAGAGCCAAATAGGTAGAAACTATTCGAAGTCGAGTTAAGGTACCGCCACTTCAGTTTGTGGAAAATACCCATATGGACTTTAGAAAGAGGAGAACAAGAAGTTCAGTAAAGATGACGATCTTTTCGGCGATTTCATTCTCAAAAGCAGCTGTACAATAGCATTCATATAGATTAGTTTACATGGATACAATTATTATTTGTTTAATTAATTCCACATAGTAACGAAGGTGATAAAATTTTCAACTTGATATATGAAAGTTTGAAGGTACGAATATAGATTACAAGGGGCTTAGAGACAAGATTTCACAGGATTAGAAAATAGTTACAACGTATGCAAAAATTAATATTTGATAACTGGAGAAATAATTTTAAAGGCGAATAGAAGGTGATAATTGTTTTTGATATGTATCCATATATATATATATATATATATATATATATATATATATATATATATATATGTGTATGTTGGTCTCTCTTTCTGTTTGCTCTCTTAGTCTGTGACCATTTCACTGGTATGAACTTGTCTCCTTTATCAATGTATATTCTCCTTATATTATATATAATATGAGTGTTTGTTGACAGTCCGTTGCTTGGTGACATATATCCATATTATATGTGTGGTTGTTGACATGTCTGCTATATTAGCTATGTATATATGGATCGACACTCCGTTATAATTAGCCATTCATGTTAAGACTGTCTAATGATTTTTTCCCACGCTTTGTCTGGAACATTCATATATATTTCGCATTCACAATCTTGTGACTTTACTTACTTACCACTTTGGTGTGAGACCATTTATTTTCGTCTCCTTGTGTTTGGACAATAGAAGTATCATCGCAAACCTAGTGGTCTTCTGATTTCCGCTTTCTCGCGTCAGGACTATTAGTTTCTCGACCAGTCCATAACAATAATTTAGCGACGAGTACATAACAATTTGGCGACGGGGAAAACTAGTACATAACAGTTTTCAACTTGATATGAATTACAAGAGGCTTAGAAACGCAGGGATAGAACGAATTACAGGTGTGAACAGTATGAGCATGGAAACAAATTGAAATCAAAATTTTTCAACTTGAAATGTTAGTTGGGAGGTATGAATATAGATTACGAGAGGCATAGAAACAAAAAAAATTACACAGGATTAGAATATAATTGTAAAGTAGTTATTCTAAACGGATTACAAGTGTGATCAGCAGGAGCATGGAAACAAACTTAAAATAACTAGTTTTATAACTGAAAATTTGAAATAATAATTTGAGCCTGAAATGAAAGTTAGGAGGTGTGAATATAGATTACAAAAGCCTTAGAATTATCACCTTCTATTCGCCTTTAAAATTATTTCTCCAGTTATCAAATATTAATTTTTGCATACGTTGTAACTATTTTCTAATCCTATGAAATCTTATCTCTAAGCCCCTTGTAATCTATATTCGTACCTTCAAACTTTCATATATCAAGTTGAAAATTATTATCACCTTCGTTACTATGTGGAATTAATTAAACAAATAATAATTGTATCCATGTAAACTAATCTATATGAATGCTATTGTACAGCTGCTTTTGAGAATGAAATCGCCGAAAAGGTCGTCATCTTTGCTGAACTTCTTGTTCTCCGCTTTCTAACTGCCACTTCAAACAAGTAGGTAACCACAAATTGTGAATAGTATATTAATTAGCTAATCGCGAACTTGTATTAATTTCATGAACCTAAAAAAATTTACAATTGACAATTACCCTTATATTTGTACTGTTGATTTTAAAGGTATCATTTATATGGTTAAAAAAATGATTAAGATATATTAAAGTCATACATTCTAACAGTTGTACACATATAAACTATTTACAGTTTCACTTTTAGAAAACAAAACTGAAAGACTTTGATGTAGCTTTTCAATTTCAATCAGTAGGCAGCTAGACTTATTCTCATAGAGAAAACGAGAACCGTGCTATCCTGTAAACCCTCACATTATCCAAACGATAGTGTCGCATCCCACTGTGTTTATCAATTTACATGTATGTGTGGAGACATGTACATCGGGAGGACCCATCAGTCTCTGCAGGTTAGGGCTATCGAACACATTTCAAAGTGGCTGAAACAACAAATGAAATCGCCAGGCACAATTGACCCCGGAAATTGATGTCCAACATCATCTATAGCGAAGCATATTATACAGACGGGTCACAAGGTTGATTTGAACAATGCCTTTAAGCCGATATATAAAACAAGGTTGGACCACATACTTAGATTCATTGAAGCCTTGGCCATAAAAAGACTTAAACCTGTCTTATGTGTCCAAAAGGTATTTGCTGTCATCTTAAACCTGCCTTGGTAATCCAAGCTAGAACCAAGGTCCAGTTTAACTTCATAATATTTTCAACCCCTTCTTTGCCTTGTTTTTTCTTTTTTTATCTTTCTCACCCAACACCTTTTGCATGTCCCTACCCACATTATTTGTGACCTTGACCTGTACACAATCTGACCTGTATTGTAATTAATCATGCCTTCTTTCTTTTCTATAAAAACTGTGTATGACAAGTACTCGTGTGTGGTCAGAATGTTATCCGAAATGTGTTGCGCCAATACATTACACATTTCAGATAAACTACATCTTCCTTCTTATTGTGTTATCGAAATCTGTAAAGGAAAAAATTTCATAAATGTGTGACAGTATTTCCTCTTTATTTGTTAAATAATTAAAAGGATTTAATCATGAGCTGACATCAGTTAGAGAACCACTGGAAAACCAGCACCGGAGTGCTGGACAGTTGTTTCGTCCTAGTTTGGGACTCTTCAGCAGTACGCGCCCACACTGCGGGTTCGAATCCAGGATCTTCTGGTTACAAGGCGACCTCGTAGACCATTGAGCCACTGGGACCCGATCCAATGGTCCTTGAATTCTAACTTCTGTGAATTCACGACATAGCGCGACCATTTCGCAATGTCTTCTTCGATGAGTTACTGCCTCATCTTCAACCTGCTGTACCCTACTGGTCACAGCTTCCCACTAGAACCCCAGGTTAACTGCCTGAATAGGGCCAGTCACTAGTGAAAATAATTAAAAATCACTAATAGAATAACTGAAAACCAATGAAAGGTAAACTTCATGGGCCAGTAGGTTCCATCCCAGTGACTGGATGATCAACACGTTAGCCTCGTAATCTGAAGATTTTAGGTTTGTTAATGGGTATGTGATGGATGATAAAGAGTCACGACGAAATAGTACGAAACAGAGATGTTCAGCACTCCCTGAAGGTTTTCAGTGTTTCTCCAAAAAAATATAACTTGGAACCATTCGAATCTTCGCAAACCGGCAGTTGGAAACATTGAGTAACTGTTTTCAGATAGATTCTTGGATATACTTTTAGTGCCTGAGTGAAATTAGGATTCTGTTCACATATTATTGTGTGTGTGTGTGCTGGTTTTCGTTGAATGTTGACTCAAACAGTGATTGAATGAAAATGTGCATTCAGGCGTTTATAAGCTTCCAGGTTTATATATTACCGAAGAGTCTCAGTTGAGGAGGTAACAAATAGTTTTAGATTTCTATTCTTTCTCCAGCCACATTTGGCGTATTTTACGGAATCTATCCAAAAGAAGCTTAAAATTTGAACTTCGCACAAGTGTGTTACATTTAGTGCTGCTACACTTCATAAAATTATATGTAAGAGTGAAGAAAAAAATTGCAAAAGAATTGCAGTATTCAAGAGTAATTTTGCAGAAATTCGACTGTTTTCAAGTTTCCCCTCGGATTGATATCAGTTAGAGAACCACTGAATACCAGGGATTACTGGACAGGTATTTCATTCTAATTTGTTACTCTTTAATAATCACACAGTCATGGCCCTGCCAGTGATCAAACATAGGACCTTCAGTCCGTAAAGTTAAGAAGGTCGTTGATCACTCAGTCATTTGGGAGGGAATTCAATGACTTATTAACTATAACGTTTGTCAGTTCACAATTACAAAAAGAGCTACCATCAGTCAACGTCATCAGTCATCCTCACACTCAACTTGATGGAGCCTACCGGTCATAACTTCCCACCAGAACTCCAGGAAACTTCATCCTTTAGCTGGTCACCAATAAGCAAAAGAATAATTTGTGAAAAATCTACAAACTAACCCTTGAAAATTATAATCTGATATTCACTAGTGGCAGACCAAAAGACGAAGTTGTGACCAATGTGTGGGCTTCACAAGGTTGAGAAGACTACTTCATGATGACATTGATAGCTGTTTGTGCCATCTGTCATAAATCGGCAAAAGTTATACTTCATGAGTCATTGGGTTCTGTCTCATTTACTCAATGGTATACAAGGTCATCGTGTAACCTGAAATCCCCTATTGGATGCCTAGTTTTGTTTTACTCTGCATACCGCTGATAGGTTTGATAATAGGATGAAACAGCTCAGAGGCACTCTATAGCTTTTA